GAAAACCATTTACCATGCTACTGGACACCAAAAGAAAGCTGGGGTGGCAATCCTTATATCAGACAAATTAGATTTGAAACCAAAGACTGTAATAAGAGATGAGGAAGGGCACTATATCCTACTTAAAAGGTCTATCCAACAAGAAGATCTAACAATTGTAAATATCTATGCCCCTAACATGAGAGCGGCCAATTATAAGAGGCAATTAATAACAAAAGCAAAGAAACACATCGACAACAATACAATAATAGTGGGGGACTTTAACACCCCCCTCACTGAAATGGACTGATCATCTAAGCAAAAGATCAACAAGGAAATAAAGACTTGAAATGACACACTGGACCAAATGGACTTCACAGACATATTCAGAACATTCCATCCCAAAGCAACGGAATACACATTCTTCTCTAGTGCCCATGGAACATTCTCCAGAATAGATCACATCCTAGGTCACAAATCAGGTCTCAACTGGTACCAAAAGACTGGGATCATTCCCTGCCTATTTTCAGACCACAATGCTTTGAAACTAGAACTCAGTCACAAGAGGAAAGTCAGAAAGAACTCAAATACATGGAGGCTAAAGAGCATCCTACTAAAGAATGAATGGGTCAACCAGGAAATTAAAGAAGAATTTAAAAAATTCATGGAAACCAATGAAAATGAAAACACAACTGTTCAAAATCTTTGGGATGCAGCAAAGGCAGTCCTAAGAGGAAAGTATATAGCAATACAAAGTTCTCTCAAGAAACAAGAAAGGTCTCAAACACACAACCTAACCCTACATGTAAAGGAACTGGAGAAAGAAGAGCAAATAAAGCCTAAACCCAGCAGGAGAAGAGAAATAATAAAGATCAGAGCAGAAATCAATGAAATAGAAACCAAAAGAACAGCAGAACAGATCAATGAAACTAGGAGCTGGTTCTTTGAAAGAATTAATAAGATTGATAATCCCCTGGCCAGACTTATCAAAAAGAAAAGAGAAAGGACCCAAATAAATAAAATCATGAATGAAAGAGGAGATCCCGCAACCAACACCAAAGAAATACAAACAATTTTAAGAACATATTATGAGCAACTATGCCAGCAAATTAGATCACCTGGAAGAAATGGATGCATTCCTAGAGATGTGTCAACTACCAAAACTGAACCAGGAAGAAATAGAAAACCTGAACAGACCTATAACCACTAAGGAAATTGAAGCAGTCATCAAAAATCTCCCAACAAACAAAAGCCCAGGGCCAGATGGCTTCCCAGGGGAATTCTACCAAACATTTAAAGAAGAATTAAATACCGGGCACCTGGGTGGCTCAGATGGTTAAGCGTCTGCCTTCGGCTCAGGTCATGATCCCAGAGTCCTGGGATCGAGTCCCACATCGGGCTCTCTGCTCCTTGGGAGCCTGCCTCTCCCTCTGCCTCTCTCTCTCTGTCTCTCATGAATAAATAAAGAAAATCTTTAATAAAAAAAAAAAGAATTAAATACCTATTCTTCTGAAACTGTTCCAAAAAATAGAAATGGAAGGAAAACTTCCAAACTCGTTTTATGAGGCCACCATTACCTTGATCCCAAAACCAGACAAAGACCCCATCAAAAAGGAGAATTACAGACCAATATCCTTGATGAATATGGATGCAAAAATTCTCACCAAAATACTAGCCAATAGGATCCAACAGTACATTAAAAGGATTATTCACCACGACCAAGTGGGATTTATCCCTGGGCTGCAAGGTTGGTTCAACATCCGCAAATCAATCAATGTGATATAATACATTAATAAAAGAAAGAACATGAACCATATGATCCTCTCAATATATGCAGAAAAAGGATTTGACAAAGTACAGCATCCTCCCTTGATCAAAACTCTTCAGAGTATACGGATAGAGGGTACATACCTCAATATCATAAAAGCCATCTATGAAAAACCTACAGCGAATGGGGAAAAACTGAGAGCTTGCCCCCTAAGGTCAGGAATGCGGCAGGGATGTCCATTATCACCACTGCTATTCAACATAGTATTAGAAGTCCTAGCCACAGCAATCAGACAACAAAAAGAAATCAAAGGCATCCTAATTGGCAAAGAAGAAGTCAAACTCTCACTCTTTGCAGATGATATCATACTTTATATGGAAAACCCAAAAGACTCCACCCCAAAACTGTGAGAACTCATACAGGAATTCAGTAAAGTGGCAGGATATAAAATCAATGCACAGAAATCAGTGGCATTCCTATACACCAACAACAAGACAGAAAAAAGAGAAATTAAGGAGTCGATCCCATTTACAATTGCACCCAAAACCATAAGATACCTAGGAATAAATCTAACCAAAGAGGCAAAGAATCTGTACTCAGAAAACTATAAAATACTCATGAAAGAAATTGAGGAAGACACAAAGAAATGGAAAACGTTCCATGCTCATGGACTGGAAGAACAAATATTGTGAAGATGTCAATGCTACCTAGAGCAATCTACACATTAACGCAATCCCTATCAAAATACCATCAAGATTTTTCAAAGAAACAGAACAAATAATCCTAAAATTTGTATGGAACCAGAAAAGACCCCGCATAGCCAGAGGAATGTTGAAGAAGAAAAGCAAAGCTGGCGGCATCACAATTCCGGACTTTCAGCTCTATTACAAAGCTGTCATCATCAAGACAGTATGGTACTGGCACAAAAACAGACACATAGATCAATGGAACAGAATAGAGAGCCCAGAAATGGACCCTCAACTCTATGGTCAACTAATCTTCGACGAAGCAGGAAAGAATGTCCAATGGAAAAAAGACAGTCTCTTCAACAAATGGTGTTGGGAAAATTGGACAGCCACATGCAGAATGAAACTGGACCATTTCCTTACACCACACACAAAAATAGACTCCAAATGGTTGAAAGACCTAAATGTGAGACAGGAGTCCATCAAAATCCTAAAGGAGAACACAGGCAACAACCTCTTTGACCTCAGCTGCAGCAACTTCTTCCTAGAAACATCGCCAAAGGCAAGGGAAGCAAGGGCAAACAAAAATGAACTATTGGGACTTCATCAAGATAAAAAGCTTTTGCATAGCAAAAGAAACAGTCAACAAAACCAAAAGACAACCAACAGAATGGGAGAAGATATTTGCAAATGACATATCAGATAAAGGGCTAGTATCCAAAATCTATAAAGAACTTATCAAACTCAACACCCAAAGAACAAAGAATCCAATCAAGAAATGGGCAGAAGACATGAACAGACATTTTTCCAAAGAAGACATCCAAATGGCCAACCGACACATGAAAAAGTGCTCAACATCGCTCGGCATCAGGGAAATCCAAATCAAAACCTCAATGAGATAGCACCTCACACCAGTCAGAATGGCTAAAATTAACAAGTCAGGAAACGACAGATGTTGGCAGGGATGCAGAGAATGGGGAATCCTCCTACGCTGTTGGTGGGAATGCAAGCTGGTGCAGCCACTCTGGAAAACAGTATGGAGGTTCCTCAAAAAGTTGAAAATAGAGCTACCATACGATCCAGCAATTGCACTACTGGGTATTTACCCCAAAGATACAAATGTAGGGATCCGAAGGGGTACGTGCACCCGGATGTTTACAGCAGCAATGTCCACAACAGCCAAATTATGGAAAGAGCCAAGATGTCCTTTGACAGATGAATGGATAAAGAAGAGGTGGTATATATATACAATGGAATATTATGCAGCCATCAAATGGAATGAAATCTTGCCATTTGCAACGACATGGATGGAACTGGAGGGTATTATGCTGAGCGAAATAAGTCAATCAGAGAAAGACATGTATTATATGATCTCACTGATATGAGGAATTCTTAATCTCAGGAAACAAACTGAGGGTTGCTGGAGTGGGGGGGGTGGGAGGGATGGGGTGGCTGGGTGATAGACATTGGGGAGGGTATGTGCTATGGTGAGCACTGTGAATTGTGTAGGACTGTTGAATCAAAGACCTGTACCTGTGAAACAAATAATACATTATATGTTAAAAAAAAAAAGAGAGTAGGACGGGAAAAATGAAGAGTGGGGAATCGGAGGGGAGACGAACCATGAGACACTATGGACTCTGAGAAACAAACTGAGGGTTCTAGAGGGGAGTGGGCTAGGGGGATGGGTTAGCCTGGTGATGGGTTTTAAAGAGGGCACGTTCTGCATGGAGCACTGGGTGTTATACGCAAACAATGAATCATGGATCACTACATCAAAAACTAATGATGTAATGTATGGTGATTAATATAACATAATAAAATTTAAAAAAGAAAAAAAATTAAGTTGCAAAACTAGGTATTTATTCAAAGGATACAAACGTTGTGGTTCGAAGGGGCACATGTACCCCAATGTTTATAGCAGCAAAGTCCACAATTGCCAAAATATGGAAAGAGCCATCAACAGGTGAATGGATAAGAAGATGTGGGTGTGTGGGTGTGTGTGTGTGTAATGGAATATTACTCAGCCATCAAAAAGAATGAAATCTTGCCATTTGCAGCATCGTGAATGGAACTAGAGTGTACTATGCTAAGCCAAATAAGTCAGTCAGAGATAGACAAAGACCATATGCTTTCACTCATGTGGAATTTAAGAAACAAAACAGATGAACATAAGGGAAGGGAAGGGAAGGAAAACTAATAATACACTATATGCTAATTAAATTGAATTTAAATAAAAAATTAATAAAATTATGTTGCAAAACCATGTATACAATGTTTCCATTTATATCAAGCACTCATATGTATAGTCTCTACAACTAGATTTATGTATATGTATATGCAACTGCACTGAAAATGGGCAAAAGACACACTTAACTCGTAACAGTGCTATGTCTCTAGAGGTGCTTGTCGAAGACACCTGTAAATTTTTTAAGAAAAGTGTATTTGTGTGTAATTTTTATAATTAAAGGCTAATTTTAAGAATCAATGGGAGAAACTGTGAGGGACTGTTCTCATGCAGGGTAGTGGAAAAGTGGAATCAAGTTGTAGATGAGAGGATGACAAACCTGGTAGGATCCACTTCAAAGCTAACATGCTGCCAATCAGAGGATGTGATCACAATTCGTAATAACGGATCCAGGAGTTTTTGTAGGTAGGTAGCACCATATACCTAAAGAAATATAAAAGTAGGAATTTATTATGCCTTCCCCAAATGTCTTACATTAAAGATATTCTGTTCTGTATGTTCTGCATGTAATCAGTTTGCCATAGCTTGGCGCAAAAAAAAGATAAATGGATACAAACCTTGAAACAGAAGGTCATTATTTTACTGGCTAAGCTGTTTCCTCGGAAAAGAGTCTGCATGGAGTCTGCCAATTCTACTTCCTTAGAAAACATGTTCCAGAGCAGTTGGTAGAGTAAATGCCGAGAATCAAACAGAGTCACTAGAACTCGAGCTAGTTCATCCTGAGAACAAAACAAAATTGTTAGTCCATAATTCCATTTTTTCTTCACCAGGAAACTGAAAGGTAAATCCAAAGCTGTCAACCACCTGCTAAAGCCAATTCAATGGTGACTAATTAATTTTTCCCCTGGTATTTATCTGTATACATTTGTCTATGATAGACGACTATTTCTTCATGCCTACAGCAGCTATTAATTCTTTTTTAAAAGCAATTTGTTTATTTAAGCAATTTCTACACTCAGTGTGGGGTTCAAACTCACAACCCTGAGATCAAGAGTTGCACTCCTCCGACTGGGCCAGCCAGGCACCCCAGCAGCTGTTAATTCTAAAGATTAACTGATGAAAAATAAAAGAAGCCTAGGCTTTACCAGGAGAAGAAAAAAATCCAGGATTCAGTTCAAATTATGACAAAATCAAAGAGAGCAGAAATAGAACACGATGGCAAAGTTTGAGTTGTTTGATATGCCCAGATCATTTTCTTAGGAAATCAGTGAGCAGGAATAACACTTTGGTGACCACAAAACCTCTATTCTCTGTTCATGTGGTCAGGGAAAGTCAGAGCATACTGAACATGGGCTCAGCAGAGAAACAACAAAAATGGAAAGACTACAGGATTTGCAGGAAGTCAGGAAAAAGATTTGGGCTGTGCATTCAGAAACAAGAGATTAGCAAGATTTATGTACAAAGCCAGGGTTGGCAGCTGATTCCTACCTAACTGGTAACCCTCATAATTCCCCATAGTATTTTTCGGTACACTCAAGAAAAATGATGTCATAGTAAATCACTGTTTAACCACACATGCTGCAAAGAGATTTACAGAGAATAGGGGTAGCCATAAAAAGAAGCCCCACCCTTCAAGCAGTGACAACAAAGTCAAGATCATGGCCCATAGCCCTTCTAATTCTTACCTGATCAATTCTGATATCCAAGTCAAGGAAAAAATTTCACAATTCTAAACACAGAATCTAGAAGCCAAAGAAGACCCAAATATTCTGCTCTATGCCCTACAGTTATGTTACATGTATTTGACTAGATATAAAAATTCCTCCATTTTAAAATCAAGTATAATTATGAGCGATAATTCAGTTACAAAATATGTTTCTAGAGTACTGTGCTAATTTTTCCCCCATTCTAATCCCTCCTCTGCAAAGTTCTGAAAACGTTAACAGAATTTAAAATTTACAAAAGAGAATTACATTTTTAAAAAAAAGTTATCTTGTATTTGGTTCTCCTTTAGATATAGCTCTAACAGATCTGGCCTAATACAAAAGTCTTTCTCAAAAAAAAAAAGTCATATGAAACTCATTAGAAATGATTTACTGAAAGAAAACAGGATGAATTAAAGTTTCTTGGATTTAACTGATTCTTTTTTATTAAGAGAATTACTGATAATTTTTGGTGCTGACTAATTACAGGTAGGTCCTAAAAAGGTAATTTAGAATATCCATTTTCAAAACATATGAAGATTTCTGCAATGTTAGATTTCAAGAGAATTTCAATAAATTTAATAAATTCCTTGTTCTAACTCCAAGCGGGATTCCACCTTTGTTCGTTAAACAATTATTTACTGTGTCCTTGTTATGTGCCAGGCTCTACTCCGAGTACTACAGCAGTGAACAAGACAGCCAAGGTCTCTGCTTTCACAGGGCTCACGTTATGGTAGAATGAAAAATAATTTCACATCGTCAATAAATGCTACAAAGAAAACTGAACAAGGTAATGTGATGGAATGACTATAATTGTGGTTCTTGCCGGATGGCCAAAAAGACCTCATCAAAATAGAGACCCCTGCACTGAAACTTGAGTAACAAGAAAGTTGGCCCCGTAAGAGATCAGGGAAGAAGCATTCTAGGCGGTGGCGGGGGTGGCGGTGGCGGCGGCAGCAAGGCTGCTCCCTAAGGTGGAGATAAGCCTACCATGTTTGATGGCCAGCATGGTTTAAGTTTGGTGAACAAGAAGGAAAGTGGCATGAGACAATGTCAGCAATTAGGCAGAACCCAGGTTGGGTAGAGCCTTGTAAAGCCAGAGTAAAGAGTTTAAATTTTGCTTTAAGTACGAGGAATAAGATCCTACAGCTTTTAAGCAGAAAAGGCAATGACAGATTACCTTATTAGTTATAATTTACTAAACTGAAACCATTTTTGGTACAATATAAACTGAATAGCTTTTTAACATGGAAAAGGACAACCCTTCTCAAATTTCTAGCATATACTGTTAAAAAATAGTATTTTCAAGACAATTTTTTATTGAGAGGCCAAATAGGCATATTATATCTTCATATTTAAAACAAGCAACATAATTTCAAATGCAAATATAGTGCTTACATTTTTTTAAAAATCGTACAGTGCATTATAGAAAAAAGAGTTGTGACCCGGACACACAAGCCTTCAATTCTAGCTCTAGCATTAATGACAACTAAATACAACATTTAACCCTAATCATTTCATTTAATACACGAAAGCACCAGACCACGTCATGTTTGTTTGTTTAAGATTTCATTCATTTATTTGAGAGAGAGAGAGAGTAGGCATGCACGCACAAGTAGGCAGGGTGGCAGGCAGAGGGAGAAGCAGGCTCCCCATCAATTAGAGAGCCTGACCTGGGGCTTGATCCCAGGACCCCGGGATCTTGACCTGAGCTGAAGGCAGACGTTTAACTGACTGAGCCACCTAGGCGCCTCCACGTCAGGGGTTTTAATTTTCTTTTGATCAGGGTATGTATATGTATATGTATATACACACATATTATACACATATTAACACTCTATCTATCTATCTATCTATCTATCTATCTATCTATCTATCTATCTATCTATCTATCTATCTATGCATCATCTATTTTGGGAGGCACCTGGGTGGCTCAGTCGTTAAGCATTTGCCTTCGGCTCAGGTCATGATCTCAGGGTCCTGAGATTGAGCCCCGCCGAGCTCCCTGCTCAACAGGGAGTCTGCTTTTCCTGCTCCCTTTGCCCCTCCCCCAACTTATGCATGCACACTCTTTCTCTAATAAATAAAATCTTAAGTATATATATTTGATCAATGTTTAAATGGAATATTTCAGTGGAACAGGGAAGGAATCTGAGTTTCACTCTAAGTATGAGGAATAAGATCCTTATAGTTCAGGCAAGATCACTACTGAGGCTCCAGCTACTTTCCCACAGCTGAAAACCACTCAAATAATATCTGAAGTTTCTTTCAGCTCTAAAGTTTTAGCAATACATGAAATAAACATTCCTGGAGTGAATAAATTCAGAAGCATGTGCCAGGTCCTGGTTCCGCACTTCTTCAATGAACTCACCCACTGAGAACACGGGACCACGTTGGCCAGTGCCATGGCTATCGGGAGCTCTCCCTGGTCTCCCATCATCGTGACCAATTCTACCAGCCTCTCAAACCGGTCGGCCAGCACCGTTTCTGCAAGTGTGTCAAATTCTGTGCCTTGCTGGAGGATTTTTGTCAGAACTTCCATAAATGTAGCTCTTGTCTGAAGATCTTTATGATAACCTAAACCTGATAAGGACAGATAGATGCAAATTTACTAACACAGCCGGTTGAAGTAATTTTCTTGTCTTACATGCCAATTCCCTAGGTTTTCAATTTCTAGAGGAAGCTTTCATTTTCTCTCACCTATGGAGTGCATGAGGCCACTGTCCACATTAGCATTGAGTAAGTTTGACATGGCGAGGACCGTACAGTGCCTCAGTGACGCCAGCCTCCGAGACATGCCACGTTTCCTGCCACCTGTTTGTGCATTTTCATCTTCAACTTCACTACAGTCATTCAAAAGGTTCATGAACAATGTGAAATACCTGAGAAATAAAAAGACTGACTCTTACATAGTGAAGGCCACACCAACCAGAAGACTAATCAGATATTCTGGAATCATGATATGTGCATCACATGAGTGGTCTCGGGTATCTGTTTCTCTCTAGCCCTGGAGTAATCAGCCAGTGTGGCTCATTATGAAGTGTGCTGTGCTGAATATGATTTTATCCTGACAAAGCCAGTACATATTCATAACATAGGCACGAAAGAGATGCAATCTTTCCTGGTCAATGCATCACTTTTAGTGTTTACCATATAAAACGAGTGGTCCAAATAGTTTAGAGAATGCTATTTTAAATGACTTAATGAGGTGATCTGGGTTTTATTGCCAATAATTCACTGCTTGGATTATTTTCTTTAAAAACACAAAACACATAGTTGTTTTCTTAACCCAGTCCTGTCACAGGGAATACTGCTTCATGCGTGGGTTATATTTTACAGGCAGCTGCCAATAATGAGGTCCATTTTCTAAATATAATCATTTGCCACTTTGGTTAGATTTTGTTTTGTTGTGTGTGGGCTTTGTTTTTTGCTTTGCCTTTTTGGGGACTGAAATTTACTTAAGAAATAACTGTGATTTGGCTTCCATCAATTCCACACCATCTCCTTCCTCTGGCTGCAGCGGAAGACCAGCCAGGAGTGAAACTACCGCTTCCATGCTCGCCTGGTCCAAGTCTCTGAAGAAAGAAAATTTAAGGACCATATAAATCTTTCAGGTTCTTCCACTCCACCCTCCCCTCAAATAAACACCTTCCTAAGAGAACGTTAGGGATTTAGGAATAATCTATTTCATTTAACTATTTATTAGGACAACCTAAATAATTTGAGTTAACACGCGCACCCAGAATGCAAAAACATTTCAAGTGAGGGAGAAGGTGATAACTTTCATAAAACCAAGCCTCACAAAAGAAATATATGTGAATGATTATGTAGTCTGGTGTTTAATTATTTTCTGCTATGTGGCAATAAGTATTTACTATTAGAGCAAATGCAGGGAATTACTTTTTAGAGAGACTCAAGCCAATTAAGTTCCTTAAATAATACCTTCATTGATTATAAAATAAATACAATCTAAGGCTTTATACATTTTATTTTCCAACAACTATAGACTATCCTTCCTAAATAGACAACACTAACTTTCCAAATAAAACTTTCTCACATATGATTTTACTGAAAGTCTTTCAGTTAAAAATAGAAAATAAAGATTAATATATATATAATTAAAATGCAAAAGCCTGATATCCAAAAAAGACATAATAGCTAGAAGTAGTTATCAACACCCCAAGTAAACCTGCTAATACTTAATTAAAAGTCATTCTTTTATGTTTTTGTTCTGTTTTGTTTTTTACCTTGTAAGACATTTTACATCATCATCTGCTGCTTGGTTTGATGTTCCCATTACCCAGTCTGTCAGGTATTCTACCATCTTATTCCTACAGAATGGCAGGGAAAAGGAAAAGAGCAATTTTTTAAGTCGCACATACACCTTTAGTCAATATTTTTTTAAAGTGCAAATAGTTTGCCAAATCACTCAGGGCCTATGACAGTTTCATAAAAGAGATACCACTACTCCAACCCTCACAGTCAGAAGGGCACTCACAGGCAACTTGGATACTGATCCTCCACTGATACTGATTCCCTTAGCCAGGGTATCAATTTGGAAACAGAATCAAATTCTTAACTCAAGTATAATTTAGAAAAAGGGACCACTGCCATGGGCACAAAGCTTTGGGAAATTTGAAAATACAGGAAGAGAAAAATAAAAACGTAAAATGCTGCTTTTCCATCCCCCTTCCTCCTTTCCCATGATAATCAAGTACCTACTATTTTTCTGTACTTCATGTAACATAAGATTTATAAGACCCCACTTTGCTCTTTCGAGAACTCACCTAAATTTCATCTCTTGACAAAATGAGAGGTCATCTCTCCTTGCCATCATTACCTCGACTAACTGACACAGTTTTGTTTTTATTTGAATTGCATGGACCATATTCCCAAGCACACGAACATATCTATTTAGACACAGAAACATTCAGGGGGAAAAAATATCAGATATAAACAAAAGAGAAGGTTTTCTAAATGCTTTAATCTCTCAGTGAAATGATTAAATGTAACTACAAAAACTGCAGTGTTTTTATTTTATTTATAGGCGTACATATGTAACTTCTGGTTACCTTATTGTCACATCCCAATTTGGGTACAATAAAGAATGGTAAATTATTTCCCTAATAACTACCAATACTGATGTGTTTCTGTTACATTTCAGTAGACTCCTTACCTGACTAGATTTAACATCATTGTTTCAATGCTAGCTTGCCCCAGATGTTCCGAGCTGCCTTCAGTATGATTATCTAGTAAGTTCTTCATTATAGCTATGGTTTGCTCCACAAATTGAGTATTGGTGTCAGTCAATAAAACCTATATAAAGAACAAAATACATTTTGGCATCAAGGCATAGCAGACAGACCATAGAGAGATGAAACTGCCTGACCTAAATGTCATACACATGCAGAAATGCACCCACAGGCATATATCCAAACAGGTGCACAGACACACAGAGACACTCATACCCACACCCAAGACATTCGTAACCCCTGGCACACCCACACACTAGAGTTGCCAAAACCCAAAACTGATCCCTACATTAGATGATTCTTTTTTCTGCAATTTTTTGCCTATTTTTAAAAAACTGTGAGTGATGTTCATGCCAATATTTAATTAAATAATCAAAAAGAAAAAGGCTTCATTATCAAACAAGTCACTCTATTCATAGGAAAGGGTGAAAAATAAAGCAGAGAACACTTTACCTGTCCTTGGGAGTCAAAAAACTTGCTGATGGTATTCTTCAATTTGTTAAACAGCATTGGATAAAGAGCAGGACTCAATTCAAGACCCACCAGATCCTTAACATTGGTCCGTATTTGAAGTCCCACCTTCTCATGGTTACACACCATTAAGGATAACAGCCGATCCATAAATTTGCTGACAGGTGTATCTGCATTTCCCTCTGAAGACATCACTGAAATCATGGAACCCTTGCGTTCACTGACTGGGCCCATGGGTGGGCTATAGGTTGCCAGGCCAGAATTGCTTCTCTGCTGCAGGCACACTCCCCCAAGGGCACAAAGGAAGCCAGTCATGTTGATCCATTCCTGTAGGGAGTCCGTGTCAGACAAATCTATGGATCCTCCTCCACTCACATGAGACATTCGCCTCTTAACAATGGTCTTGTGAAGGCTTTCAGCAGCCTAAACACAAAATTTTTATGGAAAGCATGAATTCAACCTCAAATGGTTGAGAGACTTGACAAAATTACTTTTTATCCAACATTTCTTCCATGACAAAAGAACATTTTTTACATTTAAAAAATCCAAGTCTTCACCATTTCTAGTCACATCAAGGTATCTTACTGCCCAAGGCCAGAATGGAGGTAGCGATGGACACACACGCAATATCAGATATAAAAGGAAGACTATGGACTGCAGCTCAGAAATACATACACTCCAATTATTTGCTTTTACCAATTCCTGGACAGAGAGGCAAGGTCTAAGCTGCTTCAAGGAATATAAGCATTTGGAAATTTTCAACCAAGTAGTGTGTGCACTTATTAGTGATGGCCCAAGTTCAAGTGCTCTGGGACCAGCTTTGCAAACACTGTACTACTATTAACATAGATTCTGCGTGGCAAGATGAGGGTCATCAAGCAAAAGAACCACTGAACAGAAAAAGGCTGGTAATGAAGGAAGTGCAGAAAGACAAGAAACAATAGAAAAAAATCAAACTCTACAAGAATCTGAGAAGGAATCTTCAAAGAATTCTGATCCTGTTAGTTTATGGAGCACAGATGAGAAAGAAAAAATCTTACTATGTGTGGCAAAGATTTTTCAAATTCAATTCTCCTTACACACTGCTTACAAGCTAATACTCATCCTATTACTGAAGACATACCAACCCAAGAAAGCAACATATTAGGGGCATTCTGTGACATAAATGATATAGAAGTACCACTGCACTTGCTTCCTTATGTGTGTTTGTTTCGTGGGAAAAAAATAGCCTTTCTCCCATGAAGGACTGCTTTGAATACAGAACTCCTGAAACTACCATTTCTTACGGCACATGCATTTACTGCAGTTGTAGCTAATATTAGAATACGGCTACTCTCCCTCCTGTCGTGCAGCACATAATCCTTTTCAGGACCTAGGCTACACATATTTATGCAAGTTCTCTGAACAAGAGTAAAGACAGAATGCAGTTTGCAACATGGTGACTTAATGTGGACCACAGTTAAAGAACCATTGGATATAACGCTCCACCTGACAATGAAAGCCTAGATCTTGCATTTTAGTATTTTCTGTCACCTACTTTGTGAGGTTAGCTGGACTAAGTCAGATAATGGATCAGCTTCATACCTTCAGTGATTAGTGCAATAAGGAATCATTGGTATCAGACACAGAAATGTCCACTACCAAAGAACTTGCAGCTGGCTTATAAGCAATAATGTGGTAGAGCATATATTTGGACCAAATTTACATACTGAGATTATTAAACAGTGCCAAGTGATTCTGAATTTTTTTTAGCAGCAGAAGGGCAAATACTCGGCATATTGACTGCATGTGGGCTGCAGCAGTGCTGAAACACTGTAATCGGTGTATCCGTGACTTATTTCCTTTATTTATTAAGAATTTGGATCCAGTACCACTTAGACATCTCTTTAATCCAGTCTCAACTCTTGAGCCAAGTGCTCATGCTGAACAAACACTGTACTTGGCATCAATGTTAATTAAAGCATCATTTAAAAAAAAAAGCATTATGGAATAATGCAATAGCAGCTAAGGCTCAGCTATCTAAACAAAGTTCTTCTGTATCTTTATTAAATACTAAATTAGGGGCGCCTGGGTGGCTCAGTCGTTAAGCATCTGCCTTCGGCTCAGGTCATGATCTCAGGGTCCTGGGATCAAGCCCCACATTGGGCTCCCTGCTCAGTGGGAAGCCTGCTTCTCCCTCTCCCACACCCCCTGCTTGTGTTTCATCTCTTGCTGTGTCTCTCTCTGTCAAATAAATAAATATTTTTTAAAATGCTAAATAAATAATAAAATTAAATATTAAATTAATACTAAATTAAATAAATACTAAATTAAATAAAAATACTAAATTAAATAGGAAGAGCTCAGAGGAGCAGCTCCATCACCTTAGTCACCTGCAGCTGGTCCTTAAAGTATTGTTAATAGTGATACCCATCAAAGTGGAGGCAGTGACAATGAAATGGATAAACAACTTATTAATGGACCCAAACATGTGCAACAGCGACTTTCAGATACAGAGGAATCCATACAGGGAAGTACGATGAAACTGCCAACAGTGGTAAAGATGAAAGCAATGCTCCTGGTAGCAGTAGTGGGCACAGTGATGGATCTAGCATTGAGGTCAATTCTAGCCATGCAAGCCAGTCAGCTGGGAGCCCTAGCAGTGAGGTACAGTCAGAAGACACTGCAAATATTAAAGCCCTTAAAGAAGATGAAGATGACAATCATGGCCATAATCCTCCTAAAAGCAGTTGTGGTATAGATCTTCAGAACAGCAAGTTAGAAAATCAAGCAAGCATTTGCTTAGGGGATTCCCAAAGCCCATCAGAAAAAAAAATGGGACAAGGGACAGAATAGGAAAGGACCTACTTTTTAATACTGAATCAATGCCATCAGTAGATAATCAAATACAAATGCTAGATGCCTGTTCATACTCTCCAGACCCAGAGCATGATACTTCAGGGGAAATAAACACTGCTCATATAGTACAAGCATCTCAAGAATCTTATATTACACACAGGCAACTTTCTTGGGGAGACTACTGGGAGTGAATCATTAAACTGCCTACACTGTGTTGGTCCCTAGCATCACCAGCACCACCACCATGATGGGCATATTGTTGATGATATGCTAGGTGCAGCTGATGTCAGTTGCAGTAGCTCCCAGATCAGTGCAAAATCAGGAAAAAACATGGCTGATTTTGATGAAAAATTTGGGTGTGAAGAGCCAACTAGTTCAGATTAATTCACATGCAGAACTAACATCTTTTCAAAAAAAAAAAGAACATCTTTTCTCCAACAACATCTTCCCAATTTAGCATCCCATTTATGTCTTAGTCAAAGACCTACAGTCTATAAACATCAATTCAACAGTAATGCTCTAACAGACATTAATTTGTGTAACGTTTGCAAGAAATTTCCTTTCTTTCCACTTTATTGTGGAATACAGTTCAAGATATGACTCAATCTTTCTGAAGAATTAAAAAATCAAACAGAGAAACTTCTCTGTTCCTTAGTATGCTGGTTTACAGACAGATTCAAATGAGATTCACTGAAGGCTGCCTTGAAAATTTAAGCAACAACAGGCAGAAAGGAATTTTTTACATAGTTATCAAAATTCATTTTGTATATTCTTATTGACTAGGTGTGGTGAATTCACAGCATTTAATGTATTATTATCAACATGTGTTTTAGTAATTGTAGTTTTCACAATGGGTTTAAAGACTTTTCTCTCACAGGGTTTATATTTTATCACTCAGCCTCGATTTATTCAGCACTTTTTACAACTCTAGATTAGGTCCCCTCCAACAGAAGCAATAATACTTATTCTCTTCTTGCCTCTTGGAACATACTAGTGATTACTCTGTTTTCAAATTACAGTTAAATGTTCTTGAACTGTGTCATATTATATATTAAAAAAGGCTAAATAAGTTAAACTTAAGCTGAAATAGAAACATTTTGATAATGGCATTCTTCTTCCATCTGAGGAGATCTTTTGTGTCTTGACTTCTGCAGTACATAAAGAATTAGGTTAGTGTTTTTCTTTAGTTTGAATTCTGCTGTTTATTTATATACTTCTTAATGGGGTTCAAATGAACTATAAATTTCTGGCTTTTCAGGTCTGTGCCACTGGTATAATTTTACATTTCCCTTGATAATGTTCTATTCTCTGGCATAGTGAATTCAGTTATTAGTTGAATACGTTATATTATAGTAATATAATGTTTTCAGCTTACCTCTGCCCAGGCCTGATATAAATGTCTAATTTTAATGAATATTTAAGTACTTCAAAACATTTTTTTTACCTAATTGAATTAGAAAAAGTATATGCAATATTTTACGTTCTGCTCTTGGTCTTTAAAGGGCTCTAATTTGACAATCACAATAGAAAAACTGTTCATGTAGGAATAAGAAACCACTGATAGACCTCTGTTAGTGAATCCATTTGGCACATATTCTTTAAAAGGAATGCTTTTTTTGTTTCTTTCAAGTTTTTATTTAAATTCCAGTTAGTTAACATAAGGTGTAATATTAGTTTCAGTAAAAGGAATGTTTTTAATGGCTAGATGATATTTCACCATTTACAGAGGTGCTATAGCAGTTAATTTAAAAATGTTAATTGTCTTTTAAAAATCTTTGTGAAACCACCAGTTTTTTCAAGCAGTTGTATCAATTTATATTCCCCATATGTGTATCTGCATACCCTATTACCTAGCAATTCCACTGTTAAGTATGTACTTTACAGAAACACATCTAGATGGTCATCAAAAGACAGGTTCAAGAATGTTCACAGCAGAAATATTCAAAATAACTAAAATTCTTTGTATAGCTATCCAATGCCCAAAGAGTAGAAAGGAAAATTAAATTGTAGACTGCATGTTGAATGAAAATACCTAGAGCAGTAACAGTAAATGAATGACAATGGTATGAAATAGTGTGGATGAGTCTCTAATGTTGAGTGAAAGAAGCCAGATACAAGAGACTGTATCTCTAGCACTCAATTTATATCAAGTTTACAAAGAGGAAAACTATTGTATTTAGTAGTGAGCATAATGGTTACTCTTGGGTTGTTAGTGATTGGAAGGGGGGCACAATGAAGGTTTTGATGTGCTGATAATGATTTATTTCTTTTTATGTTCTTTTAAAGATTTTATTTATTTATTTGACAGAGAGAGAGAGAGCACAAGCAGGGGGAGTGGCAGGCAGAGGGAGAAGCAGGCTCCCCGCAGAGCAGGGAGCCCAATGTGGGGCAGGATCCCAGGACCTTGGGATCATGACCTGAGCTAAAGGCAGACGCTCAACCAACTGAGCCACCCAGGTGCCCTGGTAATGATTTATTTCTTGATGTGGGTGCTGGTTGCACAGGTATGTTCACCTACTATTATTCTGAACTGTCGCTTAGATTTATACATGTTTTTGTATGTATGTTATATTCTGATAAAGAAATAAAGTCCAAACCTAAAATTACCATGTTTTTTTAAGAGCCACTAATATATTTTTGTCATAGACTAATATAGCAACCCAGAATATCAAACTTCTTTTAAAAAGCTTTGACTCACATGAACGAACCTTGCAAACATTATGCCAAGTGAAAAAAAAAAAACAGTTGTATTATGTGAAATGTGCAGAACAGGCAAATCTGCAGAAAGCAGACTGGTGGTTCCCTAGGGTCAGAGGGAGATTAGCGAATGACAGCTCAAGGGTATGGGTTTTTTTTAAACTGGGGTGATGGTTGTGCAACTTTGTAAATATACTTTGTTTTTGTCTTGCTTCATGGTCCATGATGCCAGCTGAAGTTGCTGGTATCAGTACAATGAAAAAAAAACTGGCAGGATGGGAGCAAATTATTCTGCCATTCTTCTAGATCTTTGAGTTGTAAATCAAATCTGGGGCCGATCACTCCACACTTGTCTAACACCTGCCTGTGAGGGTCACAACAATTTTCCTAGCTCTATGATCATCAATGATTTCAAATTCACCAACGTAACCATGCTTCATCATCACAGTCAGAAACCAGATGATGACTTTGGAACATTGCCTAAGGAGAACCTGAGTTTGCCTCTGTTTTCAGCACTATTGATGCTCTTGAAAGCATCTGCCAGGATGTTCATGCATACTATTATGGCGGCACAGAAAGGTGGCCAAAGTAACAGTACTTTTTAAATGGGTGAACTGTATGGTATGCAAATTATATCTCAATCAAACAGTTATTCCCCCCAAAAAAGCTTTCATCCTAAGGCCACATGTCCTCTCCAAATGACATTAGGTAAATATTTTTGCTTTACAAAACATAACTTTTTTTCCTTGTTCTAATTAAGCATGACAAGAAAAAAGCAATGGGAGGCTAATCAGTTTTTCTCTTTTTTAAGATTTTTTTTTTTTTTTTTTTTTTTTTTTTTTTTTTTATTCATGAGAGACAGAGAGTGAGAGAGGGGCAGAGGGAGAAGCAGGCTCCCAAGGAGCAGGGAGCCTGATGAGGGACTCGATCCCAGGACCCGGAGATCATGACCTGAGCTGAAGGCAGTCGCTTAACCAACTGAGCCACCCAGGTGCCCTAATCAGTTTTTCTAAAACACCTAATAATGAGAACAATATATGGCCATTACAAATCGATTATACATAAATACCAATTAATTATTAATTTCCGGGGTAATAGATGAAAATAGTTGAATGAAATGTCCAAATTTTTAAATTTCACTCAACCTATGGGTTCAATCTTCTGCCCACCAGATCCCTTAATTAGAATACCTAATAGTAAAACATATTGTTTCAATTTTAATTTATTTTCTCTACCTGTGTCGTCCCTTTCCTGAAAATTCCATGAAATACCCTGATGGAGAAAGAGAAGGAAAAAGGGTAAAGGAATGGTCTCTACCGTAAATCATCTCTAGCTCCTGCTGGCCACTATTTCTGCAAAAATGGCAACATCTGATATCTGTGCTGTCCAGTACGGTAGCAAATTCCACATGTGGCTAATGAGTCCTTGAAATGTGGCTACTGTATGACTGAGAAACTGAATTTTAACTGTATTTAATTTTAATTAATTTAAATTTTCATTTAAGCTTAAGTAGCCACATGTGACTAGTGGCTACAATAGTGCAGTTTTAGATGAACCATAACTAAGTAACAGTCTTACGACAACTATACACATATTATACTAACAGTGACTCAAAGATTATTGAAGTGAAATACATATGTCTAGCAGATCAATTAAAAGACAAAAATCAAGGGCGCCTGGGTGGCTCAGTTGGTTGAGCGACTGCCTTCGGCTCAGGTCATGATCCTGGAGTCCCGGGATCAAGTCCCGCATCGGGCTCCCTGCTCGGCAGGGAGTCTGCTTCTCCCTCTGACCCTCCCCCCTCTCATGCTCTCTGTCTCTGTCATTCTCTCTGTCTCAAATAAATAAATAAAATCTTTAAAAAAAAAAAAAAAAAGACAAAAATCAACTTTACAAACTCACCTGGCCATCTTCCATTTTAGCTTTCGGGTAGTTGAGGATTAGTTTTGTAGCTTGTTCCCACTTTGCATGCGTATCTTCCCAAGCCTAAAATGAAGGCAATTACCACTTGAAAGCACCTTTAAACCCAGAACTAAAAATCAATCAGCAGGAGACAGGTCTCAAACTTGGTAGGTATTATAATATCCTACTTGTAACAGGCACATGTCTTAGATGTGCTTCAAAAGCTATTCTGGTCACAAACACACACACACACACACACACACACACACACACACACACGAGGCTTCCACATTTGAGGGCGGGGGCCTGGGAGGGCTATTTCTGTTGCTAAGGGCATACCTCGGTGTTTCCTGCAGTGGGATGCTCAATGCGTCTTAGTAGTGCCATCACTCTTTTCTGAAGAGCTGCTCTTCCTAAGCAAAGACAAGAGCAAATCGACCTGTTGCACTCAGAGCCCTGCTTGCCAAGGAGAACCTGGCAAGCCCAACCCATAAGGCAGAGTAGGAGGAGGGGAATGAATGCTTCAAATGATAAAGGTGAACACTTCCTTTTGCCGACTTCACAGGAAAGGTATTTAACTTGGACTCTACAATGTCCACAGCATAAAAGAGCTATTCCCACCTATATTTACTCAAAACACGTGCCTGTGTTTAAAACTTCACTATATATAGTTCAGACACAGTAAATAATAAAATGTGTAACTGACAGCAGTTTATACTGTCAGTTTTTAAACAAATGTGCCGCCTATTAAAAGCTCAGTGAGATACTAACAATTTATTTCAAATGCTATTTACTTTCACCCTATCTTGTGTAGAAAGGATTTCAGGTTAGCTATTTGAATGAACGCTATAAGCTTACAAAGTAGTTCCTACATTCCTAGCACAATCAGATGTCGTGTGATTCAAGGCAAATGGAGTGGGGGGTGGGGAACATTATCCACATTTACCTGTTGACATCATATTGCTGACAGAGGCAAATTCCATAAATGTGTTATAGTTGGGCAAGAAGTTGTGCACGGACACCTCATCCACCCCACACCGGATATCTGCTTCCTCGCAGAGGTGGCGGAAACAGGACATGGCCACCAGAACAGCTTCAGTGTCAGGGCTCCACAGGAACATGTACAGGGCCACTTCTAGTTTAGTCTGAGCTTGTCGGCAGATTGGGGGGGTGCCGCTGCACCCTGCTGCACTATCCTGGGATAGTGGGGATGGGAGGCATTATGTTGGCAACTTAGGTAATTTTATTTACAAAATCCAACAATGCAACACACTGTGTGCCATATATGTCTGCATACAATAACCCACAAAAGCTTTCCCCTGCAATCATGACAGCAATTTTCAAACGCCTAAATATCTTGTCTGAATGAGAAATGAGATTATTTAGACCAACATCATGTTACTATTTGTCCAATTTCAAATCGAACAGGTATTGTCCTATTCCAGATTCTAGAAATGCAGATTAAGCCAACACAAACACAAGTAAAACACACCCACAGCATAAATCTGAATGAAAAATGCAGTGCACTTCTAACTCAATTACAAATGACAAAGGAAGTAATAAGAAATTCTATCTACCTACTGGGGGGAAGAAATAAAGTACACTGCAACAAGGACTAAAATGAGGACACAAACAAGAACTAAATATTGCGGGCGCCTGGGTGGCTCAGTTGGTTGAGCGATTGCCTTCGGCTCAGGTCATGATCCTGGAGTCCCTGGATTGAGTCCCGCATCGGGCTCCCTGCTCGGCAGGGAGTCTGCTTCTCCCTCTGACCCTCCCCCCTCTCATGTGCTCTCTCTCATTCTCTCTCTCTCAAATAAATAAATAAAATCTTTAAAAAAAAAAAAAAGAACTAAATATAGCTGTAGAAGGTATACTTGATTCGATTACATTCTTCCAAAAGAAATCCTCATTTACAAAATGAATATAAATTCCATAGTTAACATAGTCAATAGTAAACCCTGTACTGCTTATTTGTTGTTTTGTCCTCAACAGAAGATTATACTGAAAATTAGGGATGAAAAAGCTCGGGTCTGTACTTCTCGATTTTTCAAGTCTAACAATAAAATGCCAGTGGTAAAGTGGACCAGCAAGATCTTCTGTGGAATATCAGTATAATCAAGATTCCTGCAGACTATATAATGGCAAAGATTAGGAAAGTTAACCTAACCACCCTACAACAAGGCTGCAAATGCATACTGCTGACCTTCCCATGAAAAAAGCAAACTGATATTTATCTCTACTGATAAGGATTAAAGAATGTACTCTCTAGATTGGTAGCTGTATACTAAATGCCAGAAACAGTTTTTAACAGTAAAGATACCATTAAAAAAAAAAAAAAAAAGGTTTGGTCTATAAAAGAAACTCTTTTGTAATGATTTAATATTTTCACTTGTACTATGATTTTTATTTTTATTTATTTTATTTTAATTAACATATAACATATTATTGGTTTCAGAGATACAGGTCTGTGATTCATCAGTCTTATATAATACCCAGTGCTCATTACATCACGTGTCCTTACTGTCCATCACCCAGTTACCCTATCCCTCCCACCCTCCTCGCCTCCAGCAACCCTCCGGTTGTTTCCTATGATTAAGATGCTCTTATGGTTTATCTCCCTCTCTGGTTTCGTCTTGTTTTATTTTTTCCTCTCTTCCCCCATGATCCTGTTTTGTTTCTTAAATTCTACGTATCAGTGAGATCATATGATAATTGTCTTTCTCTGACTGACCCTTACTGTGATTTTTAAAAAGAATTATGCACACAAATAAAAAATATAAACGCTTATCTATAACATCAAGCAAAATGCTTTATCTCCCAGTAAATCTGTATTTTTGGTAGTTGGTACAACTTTTAAACTTCTGGGATATGAATGGTCTTCCTTTATGCAGTAGAGGTTTATAATAATTATAGCTATCAGAGCTTGTAAGTGTCAAATAATCAAGTGCTATTTACACACGATCTCATTTAATCCTCACAATAATTCTGGGGCATAAATTGTTATTATCTCCATTTTTAAGTTTATGAACTGGGTCACAGAGATGTTAGGAACTTGCCTGAGGTTCCACAAAGAGCAGTAATGGAACTAGAATCTAAGCAGTTCTTTACCACGCTGTATTATTTAGTTGAAATTTACCAAAGTTCATTCCGGAAAAAATATACAGCAGATGACAATGATACAGGAAAACTGCAAAAGAAGCTGTTTACCATGGATGAGTTTCCTTTTCCCTTCCGAAGAGAGGCTCCAGGAGTACAAGAAGGTAGTAATTCTTCATGATTCATGGACATCTGACCGGCAGTTCCACTTGAAGGAACATCACATCCTACCCCATAAAGGAAGAGAAAGTGACAGGAACTTCTATCTGCCTGCTAAAAAGAAAAAATAAGTAAGCCTTCTGAAGCACTGATAACCAAGAAAAATAAATACATAATACGAGCTGTCTTCCTGTTTGAGACTATCCTGGAAAACCTCTCATCCCAACTCCCACCCCTTAACTTGAAGAATATGCACTAGAAACCCAGTAATACAAATAATGTTTGTTCAATGTCTTTGAAACTCCTCTTAGCTTTTCACCCTTCAAAGCATCAGGAACAACAGATTCTAGAAATGCAAAATTAACATTTCTAGATCTAACATGGACAGAAGTAAAACATCAACAACATAAATCTACCATATGAAAAATATAATGTACTTCTCAGTTGATTATAAATGAGAAAGATTTTCTCCCAGAAGATTTTATCCTGTGCCATGTTAGGATAATTTGAAGCTGACTCTTTTGAGATTAAGTTCCTCTGGACCAGTAATTAACACTGGTTTGTATGCCAAGTATGTTGAAAGGATAACTTTACTGACCAGACTACTACAGATTGATTACTAGATTACTAATGCTTATACTCTGGAGAATTATACCACAGACAAGTCTACCCAGATGCCAACTCACCATTAGCCCATTTGTAAACAAAAAATTTAACAAGCCACATGTTACACTGAAAAGCATGAATTTAATACATTTAAGATTTTTTTGTAGCTATCATTCTAGAAATGGATAAAAATTCATTGGATCAAGTACTCCTAAAATTCTGACAAAATAGAAAAAAATTTTAATTGACTATAGCTCTTCTCTGGCCCCCTAAAACCCTGTCCCCATGTTTTAACAGTTAGGAATCAAAACTTTTCACTCAGCCCTAGGGAAGAATACTCAGATATTCAAAGAGGTGAAACTGTTATGGCAGGAATATAAATAAACTTAGATTAAACATCCCCAACCTCTTCCCTTCAGTTTCTTGATAGATAACATTCTCTGGACTAGCCTAAGCCATAAGATTCAAGCCTTATGCACAAACTTAAGATGGAGACTCCTCCTAGACTCCACAGAGTCCTGCTTAACTCAACTAGAACTTATCAGGACTGCAGCTTTAAGGACAAAGGCTCAGAATAATTTTTAAAATGTTCACTTGTCAGTGATCATCTTCTGGCACATATATTTCCCTTGAAGACTTTGTAAGCAGAAAGAGCTAAAGTAGGACTTAATTTGGCTAATATACATTTCCTTAATCTATTCCCATTACCCCCAAATATTCTTCCATTTTAAAGATGTCATTTTGCTTACCTTATTTTTAAGAAGAAATTTATTCCTGCAGATCAAAATTTCCCGCAACCATTTGAGAATTTCTGTGCTACTAAGCATTTGATGGCTAGTTAATTTCTTGCAGATGTAAAAAAGCATTTGAGAGCTGCAATAACATAAAGTTCATTGTTATCAGTATCATCAATAAATAACCTCACAGAGACAATGACATTCTCTCATAAGGAATACAAGTTTAGAGAAGCTAGGATTTGTTTTAGAGAAATGGTTATCAAAATGTTAACAGCATGAAAATCAAAGGGAATAAGTCTACAGACTACATTAAAAAAAAAAAAAAAGAAAAGAAAAAAGACTATGGACTCCAGGAAACAAACTGAGGGTTCTAGAGGGGAGGGGGGTGGGAGGATGGGTTAGCCTGGTGATGGGTATTGAGGAGGGCACGTTCTGCATGGAGCACTGGGTGTTATACGCAAACAATGAATCATGGATCACTACATCAAAAACTAATGATGACTAACATAACATAATAAAAAAATTTTTAAAAAAAGCAAATAATTCTAAATCCTCTAACCCCCCAAACTCCCAACTGTTTCATCCACGCATCCCATTTTTGCAAAGACTCAAGAAGAAATGACAGACAACATGCACAGCAAAGACTGTCTGCAAACCCAGTGCTCTAGAGCAGGGAATCTGCAAATAACTGCCTGTAGGCCAAATCCAGTCCTTATTTGCTTTTGTAAATAAAGTGTTAGTGGAACATGGCCACACCGTTCATTTACATATCATCTCTGGCTGCTTTCATGCTCCAACAGTGGAACTGAATAGTTCTGACAGAGACTATCTGGCCCACCAACCCTACAATATTTACTACCCGACCTTTTAGAGAAAAAATTTGCTGATCCCTACTCTACAGCCACACTGTGCAACACAGTAGCCACTAGCCAGCCACATGTGGCTACTGAGCATATGAAATGCGGCTTGCCCAAACTGAGATGTGCTCTAAGTGTAAAACACACCCAAATTTTGAAGACTTGATGAAAAAAAGAATGTAAAATATCTCAGTAACTTTTATATTGATTACATATTGAAATAATTTCTAGATATATGTACTGGGTTTAAAAATATTATTAAAATTAATTCTACCTGTTTATTCTCTGTAATGTGGCAACCAGAAAATTTTAAACTACATATGTAATTCATATTACATTACTACCAAAGAACACTGTCTGTGTGTAGGATTTAACTCAGCTGCCTGGTGACTTAGTGCACCCACTTCTATGAGGAGATAATGACAAAACACATTGCCATTTTTCTCAATATGTTGTCTTTGTGCTCTTTAAAAGATAAGAATTTATTAAGCAGAAAATAAATTATAAAATTCTATATACATTTTTACCTCCTAAGGCAGATGTTTACTATTAATTCACCTATCAAAATCACTGGTATCATGGGAAATTAATGAAAGACCATAGTTTGTTAAAAACAAACTATTAACATTACAAAATTTTAACACTCTAAGCTTATAATTGTAACAAACAATTTAAAACACAGTTGTAACTACATAGAAATCTGAAACAGAAGAGAATACACCAAGTAACAGTACTCATGGTTGGGTAATAAAATTTAGCACGATGTTTTAAAATTTACTTTCTAAATTGCTGTGACAGCAATTCTTACAGTTAAAACAAGAAGTAATCTAATTAATAATTTCAAGTCAAATAAAATACAAAATCATAAAACCTCTGTAAATAAAGTGTTATAATAAACCAAGTACTACAGAGTTAATATCTAAACAAAAAAAATAAATACAAAATAAAATTTTAAATTGAATTAAAAAATAAAAGTACATATACCTAATTTCCCAGAATGTCTCTACAGGAGCATCAGGATTCCACAAATCAATGCTATCTAACTGATGAAGAACCAGTAAAGCCTGAATTTTAAAAAAAGAGAGAGAAGAGTTATTCAAAAGTTTTTTTGCAAATCGAGTTATTTAATTGCAGTCCTAGGACTAACACACAGTATAAAGCAAAAGAGAAAAAAAAACTCTGAAGAACCCAAATCTCTAGGGAATAAATGTAGAATCAAATTATTTTAATTCCTATCATTCCTACTTTAAATGGCATACAGGGATACAGTTGAATGATGAATTCAGAGGAGCAATGTATACATGTAAAATTGCTTTAAGACGACACAAACTAATTTCAGTTAAGTGTCAAAGAACTCAGTGGAACAAAAAATTAATCCCTAAGTAAGGAGAGCTCACCAAAATTAATACACACAACAACATTTTACTTCAAAGCCAAAAGACAAAGTAGAAGTTATCTTGCTCACCACAAATTCTTTTGGAACAGAAAAGATCAATTATTTCCAAAGACAAGAGAGAGAGAGGAGCAAAACAGGTTCACACTTCATAGATTATTCATTCTAAAATATTCCAATTGACAACAGAATTGAAATTGGAATTCGGTTTACAGAACATTAACAGGAATTAAATAATTTACTTAAAACATACAACTAACATACAAAAACACTATTATTAAATAAATTAAAACCATCAAAGTATAAAGAGTAAAACTAGACTCTTCCTTGAAACCTGCCCTATCCTAACTCCAATTCCACAGTGCTTCCCCCAGAGGGACACCACTGAGCTGTGCATAGTTTTCTCAATCCTTGGTCACTATATTTGGTGATTCTTTACTCCTCTTTAAAGCCTTTTATTAAAACTCCAATAATTATTTGGAACACATAATGAGAACTGATTTCTTCCCTTAAAAGTAAATCAAATGCTTAAACTGCTAATATTTGCATTGATAATCTGCCTTACATTAGGAAAAGATATACAGATGTCTAACCTTAGACCATTTTATAATTCTAAAACTTATGATATAAAGATGAGACCTATATTATCTTATTTCAAACATTACTGTAATTACTTTTAGATAATGAAAACTTCAATTCATTGCGAGACTCTTCAAAAATTATGTAGTTTATAGCTCTCATACCAAGGAGAAACCAACACAAATTTATATTCAGTTGTCACTATTGTGTAAAAACAGTACAATTTACTGATACTTTTAAGTGGCAAATTCTCTATAGTTATGTTTGAAGAAACACTTTAACGTAATGAAAGACAATGTGTTAGCTTTTTCCCTGCCTTAATATGATTGCTTTTCTTGGTATGTTTCCTTCCATTTTATTTTCCACATATATTTTAACAAAGCTGTGAACATAGTATACTCATTCGACATTTCATAAACATTTTTCCATACTGCCATGTGATCTGCATATTTTAATGGATGTTTAATAATTCACCAAGTTGAAATATCATTCTGTCATTGAATATTAACCTGTTCTCTTACTAATGAATATTTTAAATTCTCTAATATTCTCTCATTATAAGTCAGAGCAATAAGCATATATATATATATATATATATATGAGTGTGTACCTTTCCCTTTTGAATTGTATTCACAGGATGAAAAAAATACAGGAATGGAATTATTTGGACAAAAAAATGGATATTTGCCCAACTTCTGCCAAATACTGTCAAATAAATACTGTCTTCCAAAAAGAATGCAAGGAGTATACCAATTTATAGGTCCAAGAGCAATGTACACAAATATAAGCGATGAGTAAAACAATGCTACAACATTTCTGGTAAAATGAAACATACAATACAAACAATAAACTACCATATCTTTTAAGTATATAGCTCAAAGAATTTTTACGAATGTAGGTAACTCCATGTAACCATTACCCAGATCAACACTGTCAGTGCCTAGAAGCCCTTTTCATATTCCCGTTAATCACTAGTGCTTGACAAAGGAAGCCACTGAACTGACTTCTACCGCCATAGATTATTACTGCCTGTTTGTTATTTATATAAAGGGAATCATACCATATGTTCTCTTTTGTGTTCGGCTGTTCTCACTGAACATTATGCTTGTGATACTGATTCATCCATGCTCTGCATTTAGCAGTAGTAGCTCATTCTTTTTTCACTGTTGTAATCAATGGAATGAATATAACCAAAATTATTTATCTATTACTGTTGATACACTTGAGTTGTTTCCAGTCTTTTGGGGTGGGGGGGGTGAGTGCTATTACAAATTATACTGCTATTAATATTTTTCATATGTATCTTTTGGTAAACATACATATGCATTTCTATTGGATACATACCTAAGAATAGAATTGCTAGGTCATTCGTTTACTTTGTAGATATCACAAAAACAATTTTTAATAGTGGTTGTACTAATTTACATTCCTACTAGCAGAGTGTGAATGAAAACATAACATAGTCATTTGATATTTCATAAAGCTTTTTATTACTGATTTTGGTATTTCATAAAGCTTTTTATTACTGATTTCTAGCTTAATTACACTGTTGTTGCAAAAAAATTCTGAATGATTTCAATCCTTTAGAATTTGTTGATACTTAATGCTGATATATTTAATATTCCATGCGTACTTGAAAATAAAGTATTTATTGAGTGCAATGTTCTATGTATGTCAAATAGTTCATATCTGACATAACCATGTTGTTCAAATCTTCTATCCTTACTTTTTTTTTTTTTTTTGGCTTGTTTATTCTACCAGACTTTAAGAAAAGTATGCTCAAGTATGCCACTAAAACTGGACTTGTCTATCTCTACTTTTACTTCAGCTATTTTTATTTATTTTGATTTATACTTATTTATATATATTATTTATTTGTTTTTAAGGTCAGACAGTTTTATTTTGTAATAATGAGATGTCCCACTTTATCTCCAGTGATGTTTCCTGCTTTAAACTCTGTATTTGTGTATTACTCCAGCTTTCTTGAGTTCATGTTTGTGTGGCATATTTTCCTAGCCTTGAAATATCAACCCCTCAGTGTCTTTATATTTAAGCTGTCTCTCTCATAAAGAGCACATTGTAAGATTTTTGCACTCTTTGGTATTCAGCCAAGAGAAATGAAAGCATATGTGTAGACAAATGTACAAATCTGTACATACACATTCCTAGTTTTATTGGTAATAGCCAAAAACTAGAAACAACACAAATATCCATCAACAAATAAATAAACAAATAGTGCTCTGGCCACCAAATGGAACACTATACAGCAATATACATGCGGTAACATAGATGAATTAATAGTAAGCATGCAGAGTTAAAGAAGACAGACAAAAAAAGTACACTTTATAATTCCACTTATATAAAAGGCAAGTTAGCCTGCAACAACAGAAAGCAGATCAGTGGTTGCAGGGGAAGGAGGGGAGTAGACAGGGCATTAAGAGGAGAGGAAGGAAGGGAACACAAAGGAGCACGAGACAACTTTCAACAATGATGGATATGTTTGTTCACCTATCTGGCCACTAACAGGTGAATAAATTGTGCTTTAATCATCAAACAGAATACTTATCAACAAAAAAAGGAACTAACACATGTAGTATCATGGACAAAGCTCAAAAACTTGTGAGTGAAAGAGGCCAGATGGAAAGAAATACATAGTCTAAGATTTCATTCATATGAACTTCCAGAACTGGCAAAACTAATCTATGATAGAAATCAGACCAGTGGTATTTGGGACAAGGAGTGGGGGCACAAGACATAGGAGAACTTCCCAGGTTGACTAGCAATAGTCTAAATCTTCTATGATTTCTATTATATGTAAATTATACCTCAATAAAATTGATTTAAATTTTATAACAGTATATTTATAAAGCTTCATAAAACTCTATTTAGCAATCAATATAAAAAATTTTTTTAAGTCAACTGTATTCACACCCACTAGGATGGCTATAATCCAACAGACAGACAACAAGTGTTGACAAGAATGGAGAAATAGAACCCACATACACTGCTGGTGGGAACAGAAAAGGATACAGTCACTTTGGAAAACAGTTTGGTCATTTAAAAAGTTAAGCAGTTAACCAGATGACCCACCAATTCCACTGGTAGGTATACATACCTAAGACATATATCCACACAAAAACTTTTATACAAATTTCATAGCAGTATTATTCATAATAGCAAAAAAATAGAAATAATACTAAATGTCTATCAACAGATGAATAAACAAAATGTCATATACACATGCACTGGAATATCATTTGGCAATAAAAAACAATGAAGTATTGTTACGTGCTACAATATGGATGAACCTTGAAAACATTATGTTAAAGAAGCCAGAAATAAAAAAGCCACATATTTTATGATTCCGTTTATATGAAATAGCTAGAATAAACCAATCTATAAAGACAGAAAATAGATTAGTGGTTGCCAGTGGCTGGGGTGACAGGGAATGGAGAATGGCAGGGTTTCATTTTGGGGTGACAAAATGTTTCAGGATTAGACAGTGATGATGATGGCTGCACAACCTTGTGAATATACGGAAAAACCCTTAACTGTATACTTTAAGAGTAAACTTTATGATATGTGAATTAGATCCCAATCTAAAATTCAATATATATTTTAAGAACTCCAAAAAGTCAGCTGCAATCAGAACATTTTGAGGTTTTGTATTAAGTATCAGAATTTGCACAATGTTTCTGCTACAAGAGATATAAAGCAAGTAAACCCCTTCTTCCTCCACAGACTTCATAAAACAGCATACAGACACAAACATACCATTTCTAGAAATGCCATCTCTGACAGATGTCCATAAATGACATCTTATCACTCATAGAAACCACACATGAAAGAAACATGAAGAATGTACATAGTTACAACCTTTCCTTCAAGAGTCTAGAATTCATCTCCCCTCACCTCCATTGCTTCCTGAGCAATCTCTGGCATGTGTGACTGAGGGACCAGCTGGACGAGCCCTGTTATTAACTCCGCTGTACTGCCTTGGGTTTCAGGCCCCTGTTTTCTTGGATTCTGCAGAGAAAAAAGCAAATTCAATTAAAAAACTGTATCTACCACTTGACAGGAGCTAGAGAGAAAAGAGAAGGGAGAATGCCTGTTAATGGGTACACAAGGCTTCTTTTTAGGGTGATGAAAATATTCTAGAATTAGTGGTGATGCTGCACAATCTTGTGAATATACTAAAGACCAGTGAATAGTACACTTTAAAATGGTGAATTTTATGGTATGTGAACCACAGCTCAATAAAATACAATAATTGTGGAATTTTTTTAAAAGTCAAAACTGGGGGCACCTGAGTGGCTCAGTCGGTTAAGTGTCTGCCTTCAGCTCAGGTCATGATCCCAGGGCCCCTGGGATCGAGCCCCGCATCGGGCTCCCTGCTCAGCAGAGAGCCTGCTTCTCCCTCTGCCTGCCCCTCTGCCTATCTGTGCTCCGTCTCTATCTCTCTATCAAATAAATAAATAAAATATTTTTTTAAAAAAAAGTCAAAACTGCTTTTGTTAAGGATTCACTTAATCTACATCTATAGCGTTCCTTCATGTGAATGATGTCCAGAGAAAATCCTAATGAAAAGAAAACAAAAACTAGGAATTAATTAATTTCTTAATTAAGAAATTATATCAATATAAGGAGTAGATAATTTTTTTTTCACTAACACTACACTGGCTAAATAATATACCTCTGGTTTGTAACTGATCAAAGACAAAGAACGTGCACGGCACGATCACCCTGGGCAACCCTCTTGTCTAATATAAAGCATCTGCCCCAATACATCCAAGGCTGGAATCCACCCCTCCGGATGCCTGTACTTTTTCATTGTGGAAAAACATTGTATACTAAGGAAAGCAAATCAGTGGCATATATAAATGCAAATGTCTACCTAAAGAGACTAAAATGCTTCCTGTACCTTGGAAGCATCTATTTACACTTCAAGAATATATGGTTCTTTTTAAAGATTTACTTATTTTAGAGAGACGGTGGGTGGGGGGAGCAGAGAGGGAAGGAGAGAGAGAATCTCAAGCAAACTCCCTGCTGAGCATGGAGCCTGAAGCCGGCCAGGGCTCCATCTTATGACCCTGAGATCATGACCTGAGCCGAAATCAAGAGTCAGACGCTCAACCCACTAAGACACCCAGGCGCCCCTATATGGTTCACTAAGTGGGACCAATGCAACATGTGCCACTATTTTACTTTGCTAACTGTGGATTCTTTCCCATTATAATGATTAAGGTAAACCCTCATCCCAGAATATCTGTAATTCAAAACTATTAGCCTACTTTATAAAATTTAGATTCATTCACACATAATAACATTTATTGGATACCAAAGACATGGCAAGTTAAAAAGATGTGTTTCCTACCCTCTTGGAACATGTGGTCTGGTGGGAAAGACAGACATCAATAAAATCACCAGACCAACAACTGTAAAACTGCAAACGAGAGAAGAACTGCAAGGTACGTGCTGCTAGGAGCACCTTACTACAGAAAGGGGGCACAGTCAGGGAGGCTCCCTCCGGGTAGTGAGAGCAGGTCCGAATGAGCTGGAATTATGCATAGAAAGAGGAAAGGGAAGCATATCATAAGCCAAAGGAACAGCAAGAGAAGGTATGAAGGAATGGGATAAGTGATATGGAATGAAGACTGAGCACCACTACAATTAAAAAGAAAGAGAAAAATAGGATGCTAAATGTGGCAGAAGTGGTAGGTGGGAGTCAGACTTTGCATGCCCCTATAGGTCTATTTGAAGTTTGGTCTTTATTCCAAGAGCAATTTCAACTAAAAGGTTCTAAGCTGGGCAAGAGACATGATAAGATTTGCTTTTTAAAGACATCACCATAACTTTAACTTCAGTGCAAAGAAATGTTTACAGGAAGGTAGACGAGGGTACAAGCTGGGCCTTGAGGAGGGCTGACAGAATAAGAGCAGTACGCATTAGGGCAGAGATGGTAGGGATGGCAGACAATAAAATCACATGACCTTAAAAATACCATGACTGACATCATTTAGTAGTTATTCTACACTTCTCCTATTTACTACAATTTAGAATTCTTCATGTAAATAGGAAATAATTAAGTATTTATTTATTTTTAAAGATTTTACTTACTTATCTGTCAGAGAGAGCGAGTGTGCGCCCAAGCAGTGGGGGCGGCAGGCAGAGGAAGAGGGAGAGGGAGAAGCAAGCTTCCCCAAGCAGGGAGCCCAATGTGAGACCTGATCCCAGGAACTCGGGATCATGACCTGAGCCGAAGGCAGACTCTTAACCGACTGAGCCACCCAGGCGTCCCTACAATTAAGTATTTACAGTGAATCACTATTTTAACTTACCTTTGGTTACGCCGAGAAAAGTTGCTTCACCACTAGATGGCAGCAAAGAAAATAATTTCAATATTAAATGACTTCTGGCTAAATTTCAACCTTGGAAAACAGCAAGTTTTGTTTAAATTCTTGTTCTTTGACTAATGAAATACTTAACACTGAAGGCACCAGTGGCTCTGGTGCATTCTTTACCCTGACGTATAGCACTGCAGAGCGATGTGAATTATATTACATCAAATGCATGATGAAATCCCACCGAAAATAACTTGTGCTACAAAGACGTGAGGAGAAAGGGGATTTGATTACTTTCATAGTCTCACTGAGAAGACTTTATGGAATTTTCCATGCCAGATTCTAATAACTTATTCTATGAAACTCCCAAATTTGGATGGGCTTCTTTAAAGAATTCAAAATATCACAGGCCATCCTTTGGCATTACTAATCCCTTTAGGAATTCTGTGTGTGTCCCTCTCTCCCCTTTTGTTTCTCTGCAGAAAAACTACTCATGTACACATTTTTTAAAATTCAAGGGGTTCACAGAACTCCTGAAAATATGGACATCAAGTAATGAACCCCTATATATAGTAATTTGAAAGCACCTTATCAGCACTTATAAAACCTATTGCTAAACAAAGCAGTAAGAAATTTTTCTGGACGCTGCTCTCCAGGGACTGCAGCAACTTCAACAAAGGTTAAAAAGGTTATCCTATGACCTTCACAATACAAAACGGTCATATTTGGGGTATTAATAACATTAATATTAATGTCAACTGTCTTTTATTAATAGTAATAATAGTTGACATTTATTTGGTGCTTATTATGCATTTATTAAAGATTGTTCCTAAAAGCATGAGTGTACTATCTCAAGCTTCTTAACAATCTCTCTGAGACACGAACTATTATCATCATTTTGAGAAAAGGAAGACACAGAGAGGTTAAGTCACCCAAATCACATCGCTGGTTTGTCTCCAGAGCCCATGCTTTTAATCGCTTCATATAACTAGCACTCATTTACATCTGGTAGTTCCTAACTACTTTGTGTACGACAGTGTTGCCCTCAGGAATCAAATACCATCTAAAGCTGCAAAGACAGAGTTATGACAATAATTAAGTGCTAACCACACCCATCTGCACCCCCTTCTCCTTCCAATATAGTATTTGCAGGCAAAGCCAGTGATAATAGGTTGATGACAGAAGAAAGGGAAATAAAAAAGCTAAGTGGTCTGGCAAGCCCAACTGGAGATTTAAAAACCAACTGTGAACAAGAGAAAGGACTTGGATTTATGTTTGCTTCATCACCTCCACCCCCACCCCAGGATAATGTCTAACTAATATAAACCTGGTCACAAGGCAAAGAAAGAAGAGCTCACAAAAATATGTTAGTTTAATGATAGGGAAAATTAAGAAAAAAGGTTAAGAAATCTACAGTAGTATTACAGAAATGTAACTTCTCTGTAAGTTAGTTTTTTTTAAAGATGTCTTAGGTTTCAAGCATCATCAGAAAGGATCAGGAGTGTTCTTTAGCTAGTAATCATCTCCTAAGTCTTGGCATTTTACTTAAACCAAATTAAGTTAGTGTAGTAATTTCAAGGCGTTTCATAAAAAATACTTACACAAAGCAAGAGCTTTGGATCTGCATGAATTAGTTTCACCATGGACAAGAGAAGATACTTATAGCTTCTTGTCTCCAGGTCTGTAGGTTTTTCTTTAAATTTAAGGCTTGTTACTTTTTCTTTAAATGTAAGACTCTAAAAATAAAAACAAAAACATGTCATCATCTTGTAAAAATCAGATATCAAATTCAAGACAATAGCTAACTTTTAAAAATAAACCCATTATAAAAAAGCTTTGAAAAAACAGCCATTTTATACGACCATATGTGTGGTATGAGTACAAACATCCAAAAGTATAAGGTTAATATTACTAAGCTTAAAAAACAAATGAAAACTATTTTTGCAACATTTATATTATTCTTATATATATCTAATAAAGCTTAAGTGACAATTTATTAAAAACACTAAACACTTTAATTGACTCCTAAGTAAAAGAACAATTTTCCAAAATGTGGAAAACATTAGGGATAAAATATTTAGTCTATAGCTCTCACAAATACATACACGGACCTATTCATTTAACAAACATTTATCCCACACAAATATTGCATAGAATCTACATTAATTTTATTTTTTTAAAGATTTTATTTATTTGAGAGAGAGAATGAGAGAGAGAGAGCATGAGAGGGGGGAGGGTCAGAGGGAGAAGCAGACTCCCTGCCAAGCAGGGAGCCCGATGCGGGACTCGATCCCGGGACTCCAGGATCATGACCTGAGCCGAAGGCAGTCGCTTAACCAACTGAGCCACCCAGGCGCCCCGAATCTACATTAATTTTAGTAAGATGCATCATTAATGTACCACAAGAAATGAAAAACCACTTAAGACACCAGACAAATAAGATGTAGTCTCAGTTTCAGAGATGTTAAAAACTAAAAGTGTTTCTTAGACATGATGAAATATGCTATATTGGCAATCTCTGTAATTTAATAGTTTAATTGTAAGTTTTGCTTTTTCCTTCAATGGCATTCCACCTCTCTCAAGTTATAGAATGCATGTATTTTGCCTGAAGAACATTAGTAAAACAGAGAAAGAACTCTTTGACAAAGATAAGTCATGAAAAATGTGCTTCAATTACAGAGATACTACGGTAGATGCTGTGCTGATACCATAATTATGAATGTTACTCAACCAAAAATCCAACAATTAGCTCCTGGACACAAAACCACCTCTTTCTATTGTTATAAATCATTTTCCTTTTTCCTTTAAAAGGGCATAAAAATTTCAAGTTCTGGCACATATGCCTTTATTTATTAATGTTTTTAGTTTTAGATGTACAACATAGTGACTTAATACTTAAATACATTCCAAAATGGTCACCACAATAAGTCTAGTTACCATCTGTCACCACACAAAGTGGTTACAACATTATTGATTATATTCCCTATACTGTGCATTATGCCCCAAAGTCTTATTTTATAACTGAAATAAAGTACCTCTTAATCCCCTTCACCTTTCATTGATCCCCCACCCCCAACTGCCCTCCCTTCTGGCAACCATCAGTTTGTTCTCTGTATCTATCAATCTGTTTCTGTTTTGTTTTTTAGATTCCACATGTAAGTGAAATCATACGGTATTTGTCTTCTCTGACTTACTTCACTTAGCATAATACCCCCATGGTCCATCCATATTGTTGCAAATGGCAAGATTTCATTCTTTTTTATGGCTAATATTCCAGTGTGTATATAAACCACATCTTCTTTTTTTTTTTTAGTTCTATTATGTTATATTAGTCACCATACAATACATCATTAGTTTTTGATGTAGTGATCCACGATTCATTGTTTTCGTCTAACACCCAGTGCTCCATGCAGTACGTGCCCTCCTTAATACACATCACCAGGCTAACCCATCCCCCCCACCCCCTCCCCTCTAAAACCCTCAGTTTGTTTCTCAAGTCCATAGTCTCTCATGGTTCATTTCTCCCTCCGATTTCCCCACATCTTTTTTTTTTTTAAAGATTTTATTTATTTATTTGACAGACAGCGAGAGAGGGAACACAAGCAGGGGGAGTGGGGGAGGGAGAAGCAGGCTTCCCATGGAGCAGGGAGCCCCATGCGGGACTCAATCCCAGGACCCTGGGACTCATGACCTGAGTCGAAGGCACATGCCTAATGACAGAGCCACCCAGGCACCCCTCCCCACATCTTCTTATCCATTCATCTATTAATGGACTTAGGTTGCCTCCATATCTTGCTATTGTAAATAATGCTGCAATGAACATAGGGGTGCATGTCTTTTCAAATTAGTGTTCTTGTTTTCTTCAGATAAATACCTAGGAGTAGAGATGTTGGATTGTACAGTATCTCTGTTTTTAATTTTTTTTTAAAGACTTTATTTATTTGACAGAGAGAGAGCGAGAGCAGGAACACAAGCAGGGGGAGTGGGAGAGGGAGAAGCAGGGTTCCCGCAAGCAGGGAGCCTGATTCCTGGGATCATGACCCGAGCCGAAGGCAGACGCTAATGACTGAGCCACCCAGGCGCCCCTTATTTTTTATTTTTTGAAAAACCTCCATACTGTTTTCCATAGTGTCTGCACCAATTTACATTCTGACCAACAATGCGCTAGGGTTCCCTTTTCTCCACATCCTGCCAACACCTGTTATTTCTTGTCTTTGTTCTAATCATTCTGACTAGTGTGAGGTGATATATCACTGTGGTTTTGATTTGTACTTCCTTGATGTTTAATGATGTTGAGCATGTGCCTGTTGGGCATCTGTATGGCTTCTTTGGAGAAACTGTACATACACAGATAAAGGCTATCCAGCATCTATGCACCCATAATAAAAAAGTCCAAGTAAATGGGCTGTCTTTCAAAGGCAAAAAGTGGAGATGCATAACTTTACACACAGCCACAATTCTCAATGCTTAAGTGTAAGATGCATATGTTAGTTGCCCAAGAATGCTGAAGGGTTTTGGTCCTCAAAGGGGAAAACAGCTATCTAATATACACATTAATGCTTAAGAATGTCACGACAAAAAAACAAAACAAAACAAAATGTCACTACAGAAAAGAAAAACAAAACTTAAAAATACCGTTTGCTTTTACATTTATAATCCTGTTGTAAATATCTTACCAAATGTACTTAATAAATTCCGCTTTTACTGTTTGCTCCCATTAAATTTTATTTTATTTTTTTTTAAGATTTTATTTATTTATTTGACAGAGAGAGACACAGCGAGAGAGGGAACACAAGCAGGGGGAGTGGGAGAGGGAGAGGCAGGCTTCCCGCTGAGCAGGGAGCCCGATGCAGGGCTTGATCCCATCATGACCTGAGCCGAAGGCAGACGCTTAATGACTCAGCCACTCAGGCACCCCTCTATTCTTTTTTCATTCTAAGTCATGGTAACACCTTAGATCAAAGTGATCAACTTTCACTAAACAAATTTATTTACTAAGTTGTAACTTAGCATAACTGTTCTTCCCTGATGCAGCCATTGCACAGGAACACAGAGAACAATTAACAGATATAATAGTTATCTCTTATTCAGTAATCATTTTCAAAAACCTAATAGTTCAATTATGTCATTTTTTTTTTTAAAGATTTTATTTATTTATTTGAGAGAGAGAGAGAACATGAGAAGCAGGGAGGGTCAAAGGTAGAAGCAGACTCCCCGCTGAGCAGGGAGCCCGATGCGGGACTCAATCCCGGGACTCCAGGATCATGACCTGAGCCGAAGGCAGTTGCCCAACCAACTGAGACACCCAGGCGCCCTCAATTATGTCATCTCTTAATCTCAGGTATCAGCATATAAATTTTATTCCAACACTGCTGCCTAATATGGAGTAAGGACTTGAAAGGGTTAAATAAAGTTTTCAGTTCAAATATCTTTTAATTAATGACCATTAGGGGGTTATATAAAATCAGGAACAACATGCTAAAGAAGAAATATATTTCTTAACTAGAAATGTAAGAAAAATAATCCATTCAGTAATTTACTGATTGGCCTTCCATACTACAGATATTAGTAAGAATCCAAGCTGGTACATGCTCTTTGGCCAAAGAAGAGAAGCTGTCATGCCCAGCAATAAATTCATTAATCAGAATATTTAGCTGCCTATCAAGGGCTTAAACCATTTGTTAACTTATTTAAGACTATGACTAAATTACAGGCATGTAAGAGCATTTGCTGAGCCAGGATCTCTTTAAGAAGCAAAATGTGCATAAATTACACATATTTGTGAAAATGCATACATCTATTATTAATTGACTACCTTAGTTTTAAAACAGTAAAGAATTAGTGCTAAAAAAAGTATTTCAAACTTCTAAAAATACTGCAAAGGCATAAAATGGAGAAGCTATGGCTCAATGTTCATATGGAAAGACTAAAAAGTTTAAATGCCAAAGAGCTCAATCCAAGATTATTATTATTATTGCATTATTATGCGATCTTAAACTATATTAGTAGAAACATGGTATGCAGGCACAGCAGGTTAATGGCATTCTTCAATTATACCACACCTGGAACATGAAAATCTGATCTTAATATGTCATTTTAATTGAAAAAAAGGTGTTAGGTTGAATTCTTTCCAAAAGAGAAGCAAATCAAGAAAGAAATTCATTCACTCATTCAACAAATATGTACTAAATGCCTACTACATGCCAGATACTATTCTAGGGGCCAGGAACCCAATGTCTGACAAGCCAGAAAGCGCTCCTGCTTTGATCAAGCTAATGCACAAGTGAGGGAAGACAGCTGAAGAACTGGACAGACACTGAAATGAATGTCAACTTTTCACTAAACATGTGACTATTTGTCACTCATTAAACATTATTTGTGCAAATCAAACAGTACACACACACATAGCCCACAAGCTCTTAAAGAAAGCTAAATAAAATCCCTCCCAATGCTAAATCATATAAAAATAAAAAGAAACCTTAGGAGTACAGGGTAACTTTATTGAAATATCTGCAGTGCTGTCTTAATGGAAGAATCAGAAGTTTTCTATGGAGCTTCAGAAAAAGAGAGGATCAGTGATGAATGGGAGTGATAGGGAGATGAGTCCATCTTGGTTAAAAAAAAAAAAAAAACCTTCAAACTGCTCTTTCCTATAAGAAATACATCCACCTCCAGAAAATACAGGATGGTTTATAAAGCCTTCTTACAGATTGAACTCCATGACTGCTACTTCTGCAGCAAGACAAAGGCTCAGGTTTATCAGAGACACGAATCATCTGAGGCAATGCAAAGGAGGACAACCCACTGAAATTGTCATGTAATACAGCAGTTCTCAGTTGGGGGCAACTGTCTCCCAGGGGAATGTGGAAACGTCTGGAGACATTTTTGGACTAGCAGGACTGGTACTACTGGCATGTAGTGGGTACAGGCTAGAAATGCTGCGAAGCATTCTACAACATATAAGATAGTCCCCTACAACGTTCCAAAATATCAATAGTGCCAAGGTTGAAAAACCCTGATGTCACATATTTAAACCATGTATTATGAATTTCTGTGTTTCCATACTTGATGGCCACCTGTAGTGAGCTCTTTATTAGAAGTTTTCAAGCAAAAGCTACAAGACTGGCATCTCTGTGAGAGAAAGTGCCTTGTCTGTTTAGTTCGTCATGCTTCCCTGGTGTTAACACTATGCCTGGCAGCTTGTGGAGGGGCTCAATATTTCCACATTTGTTGTCTGACTATTCACTCACCAGGTTTAAGAGGGGTAAGATTCACCTTAAGGATCATCTAAATTATAAAATTTTATTATTCTAAAAAATTATTTCATATTAAATCTGTTCCTTTTTCTGATAAGAAGATCAGCCAGAAAGCTCTCCTTCAGCCACTACGTACAATTATATACATATGTATATATATACATATACATACATAACAAAAATTTCATACATATATAAATATATAAACAGCTTAAGAATGATTTTACAAACCAAATATATACTGAAACTTTCAGAGAATAATAGGAAATAAAAACTAAATTCTTATCATAGGTGTCCTTGGACCAAAAGAAGTCTAGTTATGGCTGTTATGAAATAACTTCCAGTAATACAATATGTTGCTCCTAGAATCGGTTAATAAGTAGAGCTAAGAAGTAAAATAACTTCTAAATGTAGGGGACATTTTCAGAATACCAATCAAATTTTGTCTTTATTCAAAAGAATAATTTAGTTTCATTTTCGTTCAGTTCTCATGCACAGAAAATTAAATTGCAGATGGCTGGTAAACTGTATATTGAAATTAAAGTGGAAGTGAATATTAACTTTCTAACAATTTTTATTGTTGGAGGCCATCAATTTTCTATAAGAAGTAGAAAACTTAAAACAAAAAGTCAAAGTTCTAATTTCCTAGAAGATATTTAGAATGAGTAATTGTTACACAATTTATTTTAAGTCATTTTCCAAAACAACTTTTTAAATGTCTAGTTAAATGATATTTAAGTAACTATCATTTAAAATTTATCTCCAATTAACTTAGAGTGAAATTTTCAATTTTCTAAAAAATTAAGTACTTGGTATCACAAAAAGTCAACTAAAAATAACTTTGCATTTTATTTATTTTACTTAATAAAACATAACTGCCATGTTCTTTGGCTCTAATTTTTTAGACTAAATAACCCCAAAATATATGGTATAGCAAACTTCTCTACTTGAACGTCTGAGATAAATAATCCTCAGAAACAATTACTGATGACTGCATAAGACTGAACAATAACTGTATTAAACCAAAATATTTTATTGAGTAAGGGAACTTGGCAAAAGAGAAGCATGCCAGGGAGGAAGCTGTTTAAATTATAAATGTGAAGTGGCTAATTTACTAGATAAAACCAATAGGTAAAAACATGCTACATTTTCATCTGAAATGACATGATGTGACTATAACAGTAACTACACACAGAAAAGTCAAAGAAACCAACAACTTTTCTGAGGTAGTTACAATGGGTCATACTTACAGCCACAGAAGCCCACTGCCATGCAAAACAGTGACTGGTTGGCATCTGATCATGTGAGCGACAGCAGCCAATAAAAATAGAAAATAAGCAGAAGACAAAGCACCACCAATCAATGTCAAGAGTTGCCATGTGTAATACTCTTGCTATACATAAATACCAAGAAATGACTTCTACAATCTGTAATTGTCTGTTTAAATTGGTTCCATATAAGTTTTAAAATTCCATTTAAGAATATTTATCTGTTAGATACCTAATTTAAAAACACTCCTTTTATTAAGTTTAAACACAAACTTCAATATCAAAGTGCCTATCATTTTTAAACACACAAAGCATATTTGCTGAAACATGAAATACTTTTATTTTAAATAAAAATGTTTAATTTTATTTCTAACTTCCTATGTGCAATGTTCAGCATCCAATGGGCAAAAACCGTGCATTAGTAGAAACATTCACTCTAACCCAGGAGTCAGGCTTCCCTTACTCATCCCCAAAGATGAGAAACAAACTAAAATATTTTGACTTATTAGGAAAAGTTACAGGAAAAACAAAGTAAGAGAGAAAAAGAAAGGAAGGAAGGAAGAAAGGAAGGAAGGAAGGGAAGTTAAGATTTTAACAGCATTTTGTGAGAAAATTTCTCTAAGAAAATTAAGTTCAACCCACTGAAATAGTGAAAAACAAACACCATGGACTAGCATTGCAACAATACTGCGGTATACAACATACCATACTTATAGAAAAGAAGGGGCTCATTTGATTTTCTAAAATAATCAAAAAAGCAGGAATAGGATAGAGACACTGAAAATGCAATACGGAGAAGGTGGGATTCAAATTCATGATGAATCTTACCGGTGCCATCCGTATTGCTGGGTGTGCTCCACAACCCTGCACTGCTTTATGAAGTGTTTCACCAAACATGTTTCGAAGCTCAACTGAGTGACAGTATACAGCATCAATCTTAGGCCACCAATCCAATGCAGACTGTAGAAAAACAGAGACCATAAGAGACGAAAAGTAAAATTTGCATGAGTTATACATTCTGGTTAACACTGTAGCCTTATGTTTTATCCTTCTGTGAAAAACTTTCTAAGACCATGCAAACACACACCATGATTTCCAAAGTCTTCAAATAATATCTTTAATTCAAACACTAACCCATATTTATTTTAAAATATAATAATGAACATGAGACAAATTGCCACCTCCTGTGCATGAGCATGAGACTGTCTTTTTTAACTGATAAGCTAATGAATCTGAAAAACAGTCTTTAGAGAGCTAATTCTGTAGCCAATCTTTTTTTAAGTTTAACATTTTATACATTTCAGAGACATATGCATATATAGATAGTATATATTTTCCCACGTAAGAATGCTACTATCAAAGCTTTAAAAAAGATTAGTGGTTCAACACAATGTTGAAGGAACATGTGGCAAACCATCACTTATATGCCTACAAACAACAATGATAAGTACAACACAAAATTAGTAAATGAGATAAAACTATTAGTAAACCTAGAATCTTAAACTGATATGCAATGATGGTACAATACACAAAAAGACTAACGATCACCACAAAGACAAACGGATCATAACTAAATAGATTTAAAGGTAATAATTTTATGTAAATATTTGTCTATTTCAGTCTCACCTGTTTAGCTTTGGTTCTAGTTTCTAGTGCCTATTTTATTTGAATAGTGCCTAATTCAACTTTAAAATTAATTACTATGTTATGAAAATCACTAAAGCTATAAAGTCTATCAGTTAATACAAAAATGGATGAATTTTCACTCCATATGGAGATTATACAAGGCATGGGTCAACTTCAGACATAGGCTTCCAGCTTACTACACTCCCGGCTCCATAGGAAGCACCGGAAAGAATGACTGAACTAGCACAGGAAGAGGACTTAAGAGCATCACACCCTATTCCCAGGCTCCTTCTCATCCAAAATGAAGCTAAATTCTCAACTTCTGATTTCTTCACCCATAATTCTAAGAATATTCTAGGTAGCATCAAGTTATATTACCTTAACCTAAAATTAGATTATAAACTCTAAGTACTGGATAGTAAATTATACAATCAACTTAAAATACACAATTTGAATACTGAACTCTTATTTATAGGAAGGGCCCCCAAAAGCTGTGAGGGAAGAAATAAATTCTCTTTGGATAATGTGGTTGTTTCTGCTATTCCCCCAACTCTTACTTTATTTAAGCTAATTCCTAACAAACTATCAAATTTTAGTTTGGTTATATAATGGACTCTTTAAACTTTGGTCAATTTAGTCATTTGACTTGCCCAAGCAATCAACACAGCTTGATTTCCATATACTTACAAATTTATACAGCTTGTATTAATCAGCTTAAAATAACAAAGGCTGAATTATCACAAAATGCATTGAGATAAGGGTCCTACTACTCATTCTCCTGACCCCATAATATCTTGTCAGAAACTAATAACTAAAGAGAGATGCATCCCATATAACATCCTATCCAAACTATTATGCTATATCAATAGTTACTGAAATCATATCACCATACGAGATGCATCCTATAAAATAACATGATTTTAACTTAAGATTTAGTGATTGTCATTAAGTGCCATTTTTCATAATATAAATATTCGTTTTAATGTAAAAGTTAAAGATACACTTTCAAATAAATTATGCACTAAAAACTAGGCATCATGTAGTTGGCAAAAATTATAGTGTTTTAAGCAGTTACTAAATGTGTCTCTTCTCAAACTAGTCAACTAAAGTAGACATTCCTTTTTTTCCTCCTTGAAAACACTAAGTTTATTGCCAAACAAATGGCAATACTTTTACAAGTACATAGTATGAGCAAACTATGGCAATTCTTCAAGAGATTACTTAAATAAATTTTCAAGTGCCTTGGACAGAATTTATCCAAACTCTCAGGAGGAAGAGATCATGTCATTCTCAGTATGTGAGCTATCTATAAGGAAACTACAACCGCCATAAGGAAAAAACCAGAATACCAAGTACTGTACAGCTACAGCATGTCCCACTGATTGCTAAGATATCTGGGTCACATATGTGTATTACTATTTCTTTAATTTCCCAATTTTAACAACATACCTAATTTAACCTAAAGGAACCCAATAAACATTAAGTACGTAACACAGATCTTATAACTATAATTCATCTCTTATAGCATGCCATAATAAAAAAAGTGACAGTACTATGAGTACCATTTTCAAAGCTGACAGAAGTCTACAATATAATAAAATTCAAATAGTCAACAGATTTTCAGATTTCTTAGGAAGAAACAGAATATTTTAGATCTAAATGCTGTACTTACGAACTGAGTATGAATGTTTCCCAGAAAGAAAACAAAACTGCAAACCACTATCAATTCTAAATAAACCTCAAAAACATATCAAAAACTTTTATTTGACAATGTGACAGTAAGAAACAAAATCTGTGAATTTGGCTAAAGAACCATGGAAGAAAAGAACTTACAAGGTGTATTGAACCAAGAATCAATAAAAAGGAAATCTTACACTAAGAATAAATTAAGTTTAGGAGTCCAAATATCTAAGAAAAACTTCATGGGATTTCAAGACAAAGTATTTCCATAACGGTCTTCAGTGAGACTCTGTAATGGTCAATTCCATAAATCTGCATAGTTACTTTATGAATAGTCCTTTCAGTCAGAAAGGACTTCAGATTCAATATCTATTACCCTCAAACAACAGGAAAGAAAAAAACCAATCCTAACAAGAAACAATTTATCAAACATTCTATAATATGATAAAGTATCATCATTTAAAGTATAGCTTTAAGATACTTTACATACTCAAATTTATGCTTTTTGTCAAGCTATTCATTAAAGGTTACTGATGCTGAGTATTTTAAAACTTAGCCAATATAGGTTTTTCTTTATAAAAATAGACTTATCGACGTGACCTCTGGTACAGACACACTCCACCTTCACACATGCAGTACTCATCAGAGTACAGAAGGATGCACAACCACTTCACCATATACACTGAGGCATGCATGAAGTACCACTCCAGGCATGCTTTAAACCCACAAAGGAGCAGCTCAGCCACTTACAGCAGTGCCAAGTCCATGCTTGAAAGTGCTCTATATATTCAATTGTAGACAAAAATATTTCACAATTAAAGTAACTAGCCACAAAGTATCAAAGAAGTATATACTTGGGTTTATTTAATACAAGTTTTAAGCATTTATGTAAAACCATCCACTTTAATAAATGGAATGCTTTTAGTATTATAAGTTAAAGGAGAAAAATAATAATATTTTAATTCTGAATTACACATAAACCTGAGGGGGGAAATCATCTTTTTTTTTTTTTTTTCTCCCTTAAAATGGCCTTGAAAATAAACATTGAGGATACAATGTCTTGGTTCACTACCCTGGCAAAAGTAAAGTAAAAATTTTTTTAATTTTTAATACAAACATACCTTATCTGCAATCAGATTCATTAAGCTTTCCCTTTTTGGGATAAATAACATCTCATGTTATTTATACCCATAACTTAACCCACGGATACTCAATTGAGCAACATATCATTCCCTCAACGCATATTAGTTGTTCATAATGTCTGGGGGTGGGAGGAGGGAAGTGGCCCAAATGGCATTTAATGAAATGAGGATCAGGGATACTAGGCGTCTTGCAATGCACAAGATAGTGCTGCACAACAAGGAATTGCCCTGCCCAAAATGCTACTAGCACCCCACTGAGAAAAACTAAATGTGTCACTACATAGATTTAGAGTTATTTTTCCCCTGCAGGAATGGATAAAAGAAGAGAAAACAGGAGCGCCTGGGTGGCTCAGTAGGTTAAGCGTCCGACTCTTGATTTCAGCTTGGGTCATGAGATGGAGCCCTGTGTTAGGCTCCATGCTGCGCATAGAGCCTGCTTAAGATTCTCTCTTTGCCTCTGCCTCTGCCCCTCCCTCTCTAAAAAACAGAAGAGAAAAGAGAAGAGAAGGGAAGAGGCAGAATTTGGTTTAATTAAACACATCCAAGGCAAATGAATGTGGGGAGGAATTTTTATCTCATCAGAGATACACTCTTAAAAATGGAATTTGAGGGCGCCTGGGTGGCTCAGATGGTTAAGTGTCTGCCTTCGGCTGAGGTCATGATCCCGGGATCCTGGGATAGAGTCCCGCATCGGGCTCCCTGCTAGGCGGGGAGCCTGCTTCTCCCTCTGCCTCTGCTTCTCTCTCTCTCTCTCTCTCTGACTCTCATGAATGAATAAAACATTTAAAAAAAAATAATGTGTTTAAAAAAAAATGGAATTTGATTTTAAAGAGGACAAAAACACCTCAGTAAAGCCCTTTTTAAGGCAACCCTTTCAGGTCCCCTCCCTCTTTAGGAGCTTTGTACTATCACTCATAAACTTTGCTTTACTATCACTCAATAAACCTTGCTTTGCTGCCCACCAAAAAATAGACAAATAAAGCCCCTTTTAAGGGAGAAAAAGAAAAAGTTGACCAATTTACACATAAATGGATAAAAGTAGAGCTTGAGAACCTTCAAAATATTATTGTTCCTAACCAGAAGAACAGAATTTGGCAGAATTTTTAAGATTTGTAGTCCAAATATCTAAGAAAAACTTCATGTGATTTCAAGACAAAGTATTTCCAAAACTGTCTTCATTGAGATTCTGTAATGGTTAAATAGTAAAACTTCATGGTCCAAATCTGATAAGGTTTCATTATCATTCTACTTAATGTATTCACATCAGAGTCGAAGGTTTCACAAGTATCTTTTAATGAGCTCGCTTATTTTGTCTGATATGCTTTTGTATCATGTCAATACCTCCATTTAAGTGTGCTAATATTTCATTTATTTAAGGAGGACTAAAAAGTACAATCAAATATGATCTTACCATTTTTAAAATGCACCATACTGGCCTACACCATAAATAGTTAATACTTTTAATTTAAATGGTAAAGTGACAAGTCAGAATATACCAAATGCTGGGAAAAGGCTAGGAGTATTAAAATAATATTTAAAGAGTTTGGGATGAAATGTTCAATTATATTCTCAGTGGCACTGTTCTCAAGAGCTTTTGATGCAAATAAAATATTTTAGGTTTAATCTTTCCAAAGGATCCTATTAACTCCTTTTTTCTCAATAAAGGCCCTCAGGTCAAATTGAATATGAAAAATATAATTTCTCAGTTACTAGATATAATCCCCTATGAGAAATCTCCCTATACCATACATCTAAGTTCAAAACCTTTTATAAACCAAGAATGTCTTTCTTAAAAAGAAATAAAAAAGTAAAGAAAGGAAGAAAAAAAATTTTAAGTAATTTAGCAATACCTTTTGGACTTACATTGGTGATGATTCGATGGAGTGAATTTACCAGCACATAGTGAAATGTAGAAGGGGAATTCTGAGCCAGGCAGATCTACACAGGCAAAGGAAAAAACTGTATATTATTTCTGTGAGAAAAATATTCAACACAAATGAGGATAAAGAGAAACAGGAAAAAAAAAGTTTTTAAAAAACAGAATAAATTCTTAAGGTCTTAAAATTAACATTAATATATAATATTGAGAAATACCAATTGACCTTTCTAGTCTTTTTATATTTATAAAGAAAGATCAACAGCATCAGTAAACATAACTGGATAAAAGCCAATGCTCTCACCTTAAAGTGTTGGTTGTTGTGAGGGCTTATACGAAAGCAAGAAACAAGGCAGTCAATCATTAGATCCACATCTGCAGGCTGACTGCCTCTTGAGAATGGTTTACTTGGATTAAAAAGCAGGTTCTATGAAAATCCCAAAAGAAAACAAAAGCCTTTAAACAATCATGCAGTTATTTTTTTTACTACTATTTAATAATATCAACACAATATCCACATACATGGAAATAACATTCAGTTGCCAGAAGAAGCACAAAGCACTAATGTGGTTCATCACTCCGATAAAATTCTTACTATACCAGATATGGTTCTTTTTAGGCCCTAAATTCTACATTATTTTAAAACCAAGTCTGAATATTTATGATAACTTAAGAAAACCAGTTAATTCTGTGTTTTCATCATATTCTAAGCCAATTTAGTCTGAGTAACACAAACAACAAAAGCAGGTCTTATGTACTTACTATCTAAGATGATTCAGACCTTTAGCATTAGTAATGATCTTTGACAACGATCTAGCATAATAATACTTTACTAGAATTTTATTTTTCCTTTAGTTTTCTTAAAGTTTGTAGTAAAGAAATAACAAGCATATTACCTTAAGATCTACCACCATGGACTGAACTAGTAGGAAAATGACAGAGTTATCTTCCCAGTTGATATAAGTACTTGCTTTACACAGTTTGACACAGGCAATTGCAGCACTTTCCGTCAACTGCCTGCTTCCTCCATGGCCGGCAAGTGCTTTTCGTAGACTGTCCAAAAACAACTTCTATAGAATTCAAATATAGAAAGAAGTTTCTAGTTAATTAATGCGCAGTTTCTAACATTTCAGATTTGTCGAATTATCAGCCCCTAAAAATTATATTCTAAAACTACATAATTGGTATCTCCAATTTTTAATTTCACAATTTAAGTAGTCATCATTTACATGTTTCTCAAATCTAAAAAAAAATAGAATCTGTTCTTCACTTTCTTTGTTGAATTATTAAAGGAACACAGTCCTTCCTAAACAAGGTAGTTGACTTCTCAACCCTGAATTCAGCTGATTATATTCTCTTTTTAAATATTTCTAAACTCCAGGCTATATTCAACCTTTAGCCTTCCAACTAAGGATATACCTAAGGCTGTTCTATTGCTCTAAATAAAATCTGTTCTGGGGCGCCCGGGTGGCTCAGTCGGTTGAGCATCTGCCTTTAGCTCAGGTCGTGAACTTGGACTCCTGGGATCAAGCCCCACTTCGGGATCCCTGCTTGGTGGAGAACCTGCTATTCCCCCTGCTTGTGCTCTCTCTCTCTCTCTCTATCTCAAATAAATAAATGAAATCTATAAAAAATAAATAAATTCTGTTGCTCACAAAAAGTTATCCATTCTTGTGATCTCAAGCCCTCTTTGCAGCTCACTAACAAATTGCTCCCTCTGTTTTTCTCCTAAATGAAAATTTTGCATCTCCACTTATATGTATTCTCAAATATAATGTGTCAAAAGCAAAACTGATCAAACAACAGCAGAATATATATTCTTCTCCAGTACACATGAACAATATCTAGGATAGACCATGTGTTAGGCTACAAAACAGGTCTTAATAAATTTAAAGAGACTGAAATCATATGAAATATTTTTCCTGGGGCACCTGGGTGGCTCAATCAGTTAAGAGTTGGCCTTCAGCTCAGGTCATGATCCCAGGGTCATGGGATCGAGCCCAACATCTGCCTCCCTGCTCAGTAGGGAGCCTGTTTCTCCCTCTCCCTCTGTAGCTCCCCCTGCTTGTGCTCTCTTTCTCTCTCTGTCAAATAAATAAATCTTAAAAAAAAAAAAAGAAATATTTTTCCTGATCACAATGAAACCGGAAATCAGCAATAGAAGGAAAACTGGAAAGTTCACAAACACATGAAAATTAAACACCAATGATCAAAGAAAAAAAATTCACAAAGAAAATTAGAAAATATCTTGAAATAAATCAAAGTGAAAACACAACACCAAAAATGGGATGCAGTGGAAGCAGTGCTAACAGGAAAATTTATAGCTGGAAACACATTAAAAAGAAAGCTCTCAATTCAACAACCTAACTGTATACCTTAAGGAACTAGAAAAAGAAGAGCAAACTAAATCCAAAGCTAGCAGAAGGAAGGAAATAATAAAGATGAGATCAAAGACAGAGAATAGAAAAACAACAGGAAAATACCAAAATCAAAAGGTGGTTCTTTGAATGGGTCAAGAAATTTGAGAGACCTTTTGCTAGATTAAGAAAAAAAGACAGGGCACCTGGGTGGCTCAGTTGGTTAAGCAACTGCCTTCGGCTCAGGTCATGATCCTGGAGTCCTGGGATCGAGTCCCGCATCGGGCTCCCAGCTCAGCGAAGAGCCTGCTTCTCCCTCTGACCCTCCCCCCTCTCATGTACTCTCTCTCATTCTCGCTCTCTCAAATAAATAAATAAAATCTTTAAAAAAAAAAAAAAGAAAAGAAAGACAGAAGATCCACAATACCAAAAATCAGAGCTGAAAGTGAGAACATTACTATTTTTAAAGAAATAAAAGATTATAAAATACTATGAAAAATTATATGCCAACAATTGGATAATTTAGACAAAATGGGCAAATTCCTAGAAACATACAATCTACCAAAACTGACTCATTAAGAAACAGGAAAATCTGAATTGACCTAGAACTAGTAAGGAGATTAAATCAGTAATCAAAAACCTCCCAACAAAGAAAAACCCAGGACAGGTGGTTTCACTGGTGGATTCTATCACACATTTAAAGAACAATTAATACCAATCCTTCGCAAACACTTCCAAAAATTTAAGGAGAGGGAACACCTCCTAATTCATCTCATGAGGCCAGCATTACCTTAATACTACAGCCAAACAAAAACATGACAAGGAAACTACAGACCAATATCCCTAAAAATATTGATGAAAAAATCCTCAAGAAGAATGAGCAAACCAAATTCAGCAGTATATAAAAGGATTATACACCATGACCAAGTGAGCTTTATTTGTAGAGCGTAAAAAAAGTTTCAACAACAAAAATCAATCAATAAAATATACCATGTTAGTAGAATGAAGGAAAAAAACTCACATGATCCTTACAATTGATGCAGAAAAAACATTTGACAAAATTCAACACCCTCTCATGATAACAGCACTGGATAAGCTAGGAATAGAAGAAAATTTCCTCAACATGATAACAGCCATATATAAAAAACCACAGCTAACATCACACTCACAACAGTGAAAGACTGAAAGTTTTTCTCCTAGTAGGAACAACATACGGATACCTAGTTTTGCCACTTCTTTTCAACATTACTAGGGAAGTTCTAGGCAGAACATTTAGGAAAAGAAAAACAAAATAAAAAACATTAAAAGTCATTCAAATTGAGGGGGCAGAGCAAGATGGCGGAGGAGCAGAAGACCTGGATTTCGTCTGGTCTCAGGAATTCAGCTGGATGGGAATCAAACCATTCTGAACACCTACAAACTCAACAGGAGATGGAAGAAAAGAATAGCAGCAACTCTCTGAACAGAAACGAGACCCTTTCTGGAAGGTAGGACATGCGGAGAAGTGAATCCAAGGCGATATTCGAGAAGAGAGACGGCAGGGGAGGGGGCCTCCATCGGCTGCTTCTGGCAAGTGATAGAGCCGCGGAGCACAAAATCCGAACTTTTAAAAGTCTGCTCCACTGAGGGACGTCGCTCCAGTGGCTAAGCGGGGGGTGTAACCCTCGCTGGGACAGTGTGGTCTCAGGACCCTCGGAGTCACAGAAAGACCCGGGGTGCCTGAGTGCGGCAGACCTCCCAGGTATGGGAGCGGGGAAGCTGGCTGCAGAGACAGAGCCAAGGCGCAGGCTCTCAGCTCGGGGTTGCCATAAACAGTGATCCGCAGCACAGTCGGGCCACTGTTCTTCCAGCAGGGACCCAACAAGCGGCAGATCCAGGGAGACTCCCCTTCCTCCCCCGGGAGGAGCAGCGCGGGAGTGCACTGCAGGGATCTGCTGGGTTTGGAGACTCCACACGGGGTCGGGTGCCAGAGATAGAGACGCTCGGTCACAGGCTGGGTGAACACGGAGTGCGGCCGGGGACCAGGGAGACGGGAGTGACTGCTTTTCTCTGGGGGCTCACTGAGGAGTGGGGCCCCGAGTTCTCGTTTCCTCGGGGAGGAAACGAGATTGGGAGACCGCCATTTTCACTCTCGGCCTCCAAAGCTGTACGGAAAGCTTGCAGGGAACAAAAGCTCCCGAGAGCAAACCCGAGCAGATTACTTAGCCCCAAACGGGCCAGGGCAGGGCAATTCCGCCTCCGGCAAAGACATTTGGGAACCACGGCAACAGGCCCCTCCCCCAGAAGATCAGCGAGAACAGCCAACCAAGACCAAGTTTACTGATCAATGAGACGGCAGAACTCCAGCGCTAGGGGAATACTGCACATAAAATCCATGGCTTTTTTACCATGATTCTTTAGTTTTTCAAAGTTAATTTCTTTTTTAACTGTTTTTTTTTCTTGAATTTTTCTTTTTCCCTTTTCCAACCAACATCGTATCAATCCCTTTTTTAAAAAACATTTTTATTTTTCATTTTTAGAAACATATTCTATCCCTTCATAGTAATTACCCTTATTTTTGGCATATATATAAAGTTGTTTTCTCTTTAAAATTTTGGGATACAGTTTCTTCTAACAGATCAAAATATACCCTAAATCTCTAGTATATGGCTTTGTTCTACTCTCCTGCCTGATCACATTCTCTCCCTTTTTTTCCCTTTTTTAAATCCTCTTTCTTTTTCCAAACAACTTATCAATTCCTTTTATAAAATTTTTTATAATTTTCAACTTTACAGTCATATTCCATCCCTTCATATCAACCCTTATTTTTGTACATATATGTTTTTCTTTCCTTTTTTTTTAAGATTTTATTTATTTATTTGACAGAGAGACACAGCGAAGGAGGGAACACAAGCAAGGGGAGTGGGAGAGGGAGAAGCAAGCTTCCCGCGGAGCAGGAAGCCTGATGCGGGGCTCAATCCCAGGACCATGAGATCATGACCCAAGCCGAAGGCAGATGCTTAATGACTGAGCCACCCAGGCACCCCATAAGTTTTTCTTTCTTTAAATTTTGGGAGGCACTTTCTTCTAACAGACCAAAATACACCCAAAGTCCAGTGTGTGGCACAAATCTATGCATCAGCCTGATCATATTTGATCATATTCTGTTTTTTGTCTTTTGTTCTGTTTTTGTTTGTTTTTATCTTTTTCTTTTGCTTTTCTTTTTCTTTTTTCTTTCTTTCACTTTCTTTTCCCCCGGCTTCAGGTCTTTTCTGATTTGTTTAGAGTATATTTTCTGGGGACGTTGTTACCCTGTTAGCATTTTGTTCTCCCATTCACCTATTCTCCTCTGGACAAAATGACAAGACAGAAAAAATCACTTCAACAAAAAGAACAAGAGGTAGTACCGACTGCCAGGGACCTACTCAATACGGACATTAGTACGATGCCAGATCTAGAGTTCAGAATCATCACTTTAAAGATACTAGCTGGGCTTAAAAAAAGCATGGAAGTTATTAGAGAAACCCTCTCTGGAGAAATAAAAGAACTAAAATCTAACCAAGTCGAAATCAAAAAGGCTATTAATGAGGTGCAATCAAAAATGGGGGCGCTAACTGCTAGGATAAATGAGGCAGAAGAGGGAATCAGTGATACAGAAGGCCAAATAATGGAAACTAAAGAAGCTGAGAAAAAGAGATAAACAACTACTGGATCCCAAGGGCAGAATTCAAGAG